GAGCAAGGTGAGTTGTATTCATTCACCAGTCGAGACACTCTGAACTCCAGGCGCGAGTTCCAAAGGTGAGCAGATCAGTTCCAGAGACCTTGGGTATTTCTCCTCTGTCCAATGAGAAGGTTGTATATGGTGGCCCCTGAGGACCCCTTCGGCCCCAGGTTCTGTGCTCCAGTGACACCCCCCCTCCCCGAGCCCTGCTGGCTAAATACTGCTTCTAGTGGACACTTTCTTCCTTGTCTTTGAGGACAGGTAGGAGAAGTGGACGGGAGCCTTTTCCTGTCTGCCCCAGAGAGTACCTTGGCACTGGCCTATGTTGCATGATGTGTGCTTTTCAGACTTTTATAAAGTGAGAGAAGGCCCAACAGCGTCTCTGCTGTGCCCTGGAACCCTGGGATTCTCAGGCTTGGCTCTCCCTACATTGGAAGGCAGACCTGCCCAGTGGGTGGCATCATCAGGTATGGGAGCAGGCAGGACCTTGGGAGTCGTCTAGTCCAAGCCCCTCATTTGACAGATAAAGGAAACCGAGGCCCACCCACAGAGGGAAGGTGACTTGCCCAACCTTGCACAGCCAATACGTGGCAAAACCAGGTACTCTAAATACCGGAGGGAGTGGGTTCTGTCATATGCCCTCTTTCCATGGATGTCTCCAAAGAAGCACTTTATAGGGAGGAGACTACAGATCCTGGTTGAACCTGGTTGAACAAAGAACCCAAGCCAAAGATTCCAGGGCGACCCTAATTGCCACTTGGCCTGGGGGAGGTCACATGCTTGTGCCCACTTATCTTGTATGCCAGTCTCCTCTTCCCCCAAACACAAGCTCTGCTGTCCATAGAGTGAATCCAAGGTTAGGTTGGCACCTGTCTGTCTCAGCCACCTGACTGGGTTCCAAAGCAGCCTTTCTTTTCTGCTAGAGGGAATGGGGTGGGACTGAGGTCAGGCTTATTATAGAGCAGAGACAGTGATGGCCAGCTCAGGGCCTAGCATACGCCACCCACGGCCTGAGCATCACCAGCCGACCTGCCACTTTAAGCCAAGTGTCCCCAAACATACACCCACACAGAAAGGATCACAGACTTAGAGCAGACACGTCCTTGGATCTCACCTGCGTCAGAGCTTCTCAAGCCCTCTGGCAGGCAATCTGGCCAAGGCTCCAGACCCTTTCCCAGAATTCTGTGTTCAGCTGTTCTCTAGAACTGTAGTGCTAGGGTTTTGTTCCTGTGGAAAATACTGCCACGTATTTTGGTGTCTTTGAGGTGTGTGACTTCCTTGGGTAGATGCCCAGTGGTGGGATCAGAGGGGAGGGACATCTTAGCAACTTCTCCCTTGCAATCTCAGGTCTTTTCCTGGAATGGATAAAAGAATTAACAATGCTGCCACTCGCTGGGCATTTGTTCATCTGACTGGGCATGCCCCCTTCATCAGTGACCGCTTTGGTCACCTCCGTCTTTTGCAGATGAGGAAGGGAAGTGACTTATCCACGGTCACACAGATGATGTGTAGGAGACAGGATTGGAATGCAGACCTTCCTTGTTTTGGTCCCCACTGGCTCAGAGTGGATGTAAATAGTAATTGTGTCTGATATGGCCAGAAACCCTAAGGGTCTTCCTCTCCCAGACTGATTTTTTTTTTTAAGTAAAAGGGGCCATTATTTGCCTCCTTTCTTACCTAGCCTTAATCACTGAATGGGTGTTGCCTCAGACAAACAGACATGGGAAAGACCTCAGCTTAAAAAGGCCAAGGTCCCCCACTGCATTTGGGGCTGACTCCAGTCTTCCTGATCTATATCTGGCCACTGGACCCAGATGCCTCGGGAGGAGAAAGTGAGGCTGGTGACTTCACTTAAATCCAACTCACTTGGAAGTCATGGCACCACCTTCCTGATGCCATGGTCCTCTTTGAGAATGAAGGAGAAACAACAACAACGACCCCGCCCCAGATCTGACCACAGCTCCCTAGCGATGGTGGAATAAAAACTCCTCCTTCCATGCTCTCCATTCCAGGGACACTGGCCTGCAGGCTGCTCCCTGCACACGGCCCTTGAACGTTTCCACAGGCTGCCTGTCCCTCATGTCTAGGACCTGCTCCTTTCTCATCTCTGCCTCCCAGAATCCCCAGCTTCCTACAAAGCATGGCTCAGGTGCCCATTTCTCCACTAGGCCTTTTACGGGGCTTAAAGCAGAAGGCTCGGCAAACCTAAACCACAGGTCCCTAAAGGAAGATACACAGGGGAGCCTCCCAGGCCCTCTGGTCCAATGCCACCATTTCCCATTGATGTGATGTAGGTAGGCCCCTACAAACACTCCAAACCAACAGCTTTACTTAAAGGATCGTTAAGTGGTACTTAGCCTGGGACCTGTTGTTGGCCAGTCAGTGAGAGCCAGAGTGTTTAAGGCTTGGTTTTTAAGAAAGAAATCTAGGATAGAGCGCTGGCCCTGGATTCAGGAGAACCTGAGTTCAAATCCGGCCTCAGACACATAACACTCACTAGCTGTGTGACCCAGGGCAAGAACTCTAGCATATAAACTCCAAGATATCTTGCTAGGTTTCAGCCATCAAAATTTCCATTTCTTTGGGCAGAGCACCAGCAGGTAAGGGTATGATACCATATGTGGACAGTGGGAAGGAAAGGGAAGGGAGAGGGAGAGAGGAAGAAGGAAGGAAAGGAAGGAAGGAAGGAAGGAAGGAAGGAAGGAAGGAAGGAAGGAAGGAAGGAAGGGAAGGAGGGAGGAAGGTAGGGAAGGAAGGAAGGAAGGGAAGGAAGGAAGGAAGGAAGGAAGGAAGGAAGGAAGGAAGGAAGGGAGGGAAGGGAGGGAAGAAGGTAGGGAAGGAGGGAGGGAGGGAGGGAAGGAGAGAGGGAGGGAGGAAAGAAGGAAGGAAGGGAGGGAGAGAGGAAGAAGGAAGGAAGGGAGGAAGGAAGGAAGGAAAGAAGGAAGGGAGGGAGGAAGGAGCTGCTTTGCCCAACTGGAGCTGGCCAGTCGGGTCCCTCATGGGGCAGCTCGTCCTATTCACAGGTTGTTGTTTGCCCTTCATTCTTGAAGAGGACCGTGGCATCAGGAAGGGGATGCCATGACTTTCAAGTGAATTGGATTGAAGGGAGGGAGGGCTGTGCAGAGTCACCAGCCTCGCTTTTTCCTCTAGAGCCTTCTGGGTCCAGTGGCCAGATAGAGATCAGGACGGGTTGTAGAATCTGAAAATGTTGAGGAGGATGGCAGATGGGCAGGACTTTGGACCCCAGACAGGTGGTAAAAGGGAGGTACTGGTGTTAATTGTTGTTTATTGAACACAGGTGAGGCACACGTGTGTGTTGCTTTAATTATTTATTTTCAGTACATGGTGTTTATTGCTCTGGGCCATGATCCATTCTGCAGGTAGAAAAGTCAAGGTGTTTCCCCTTTAGGAAACTTTGAAAACATAGAAAACTGGTTACCCACTTTCTGCCGTTTCCTCTGTTGTGATCAAGACCCCTTGCCCCTTGCCTCTACCCGGTTCCTTCCCCACAGAGTTCACCCCGGGGACCTTGTAGGCACGTCCGGCTGACCACCTGTTCCCTTTGTTCTGAGACTCCAAGTCGTCTCTGAGCATCACCCCCTGCTTCCTCCCTGGGTGTTGTTTCTAAGCTCAGCAGTTGAACACAAATGGATTAAATGCCCAAGACCTCCTGTTGCAGGTCTAGCACTCTGCTAGGCACTGGGGGGAGCTTACACCCTCCTGGGAAGTCTAGCCCATGTGCACAGATGAGAGGGTAAGTTCCCTGAGGCTAGGGATTGTTTTGTTCTTTGTTCTTCCATCCCTGTCACCCAGCAGAGTGCCTGGCCCATAGTAGGGGTTTAAAAAATGCTTATCAGTTTCATTGTTTCCAAAAGAATGTAAGCTCCCTGATGCCTGGGATTGTTTCATTTTATCTTGGTATTCTCGTAGCCCCGTACATAGTAGGTACACTTAATAAATGTGGGTTTATTGATTGCTTGAGAAAAGATAGATTGAGGCTTAGAGAGAGCAGTAAAGGAGGGATGTGGGGTGAGGGATGATCAGGGAAAGTTTCACCCTGGGGGTGGGCCCTGAAGGTAAGAAATTGGAGAGGATGGAGGTACAGGTAAGGTGAGGATGGAGATGTGAATGGAGGTGTGAATGGAGGTGCAGATGCAGTGAGGATGGAGATGAGGATGAGATGAGGATGAAGGTGGGGATGAGATAAAGATGGAGGTGAGAATAGAATTGTGGATGGAGGTGAGGATGAGGTGAGGATGAGGTGAGGATGGAGATGAGGATAGAGGTGTAAATGGAGGTATGGATGGAGGTGCAGATGCAGTGAGGATGGACATGATGAAGTGAGGATGGAGGTGTGGATGAGGTGCGGATGAGGTGAGGATGGAGATGATGATGAGATGAGGATGGAGGTGGATGAGATAAAGATGGAGGTGAGGATGGAATTGTGGATGGAGGTAGGGATGGAGGTAAGGATGAAGTGAGGATGGAGGTGTAAATGGAGGTAAGCATGGGAGGTGAGGATGGAATTGTGGATGGAGGTGTTGATGGATGTGAGGATAGAAGTGAGGATGGAGGTGAGGATGAGGTGAGGATGGAGGTGCAGATGAGGTGAAAATGGAGGTGAGGGTGGAGATGAAGATGGAGGTATTGATGGAGGTGGGGATAGAAGGGAAGATGGGAGGTAAGGATGGAATGGTAGATGGAGGTGAGGATGGGGGTGTGGATGAGGTGAGGGTGGAGGTAAGGATGGAGGTGCAGATGAGGTGAGGGATGGAGATGAGGATGGAGGTAAGGATGGAGGTGAGGATGAGGTGAGGATGGAGGTGAGGATGGAGGTAAGGATGAGGTGAGGATGAAGATGAGGATGGAGGTAAGGATGGAGGTGAGGATGGAGGTGAGGATGAGGTGCGTTCCAAGAGCACAGAGGTGGGGACACCAGCAGTCGCCCCGCCAGTCATACTTGGTCGTATTCTCAAAGTGGACCGTGTTGATTTCTGGTTTCTTCCCCTCAGAGCAAGCCACTGATGGATCCCTGCAGGGCGAGGACTGGTCCCTCAACATGGAGATCTGTGACATCATTAACGAGACCGAGGAGGGGTAAGGGGCCTGGGGGGGCTTGGGGTGCCTTCATTGCCAGAGCCATCAAGTCCCAGAGCCTGTGGCTGTTTCAGGGGAGCTGGAGACTTCCACAGGGGAGCAAGCCCTTCCCCTGGAGCGGTGGCAGAGAGCCCAAAGCAGCAGCAGGCTTGGCCTGGCCTGGTCCGCAAACCCCAGAGCCATCCAGACCTGCCAGAACCTGGCTCGCTGTAGGTGGGGTGCTCTGTGAATTCTGTAACCCCCAGGTTCACCTGGAAAAGTTAGCGCTAACAGCAGGCATCTCTGGAGTGCTGGCAGTGCCGGGTGGGACATCCTCACTGGGCCAGGCCCTCCTCCCCACCGTCCTCCTCTCTTAGCCGCAGCCTCTCACTTCCTCTTCTGGCCAGCTCTCCCACCAGTCGCTGCCAGGCTGACCTTCCTCACCCATCCCTCCTCTAGGTCAGCTGCCCCGCGGACCCTCCAGGCCTCTGTCACATCTGAAACAACTTCACCTTTCCTGACATCCTATTGTACATTAGGAACTTGTCCAAAACCCGATGAGAATGAACGTTTCCACATAGAAAAAGAGCATTCATTGTACGTGGAACTGGGAACCTCTGTCATCTACGGCTTGGAGTTTTAAATATGACTAAATTTATCCCAGCATCCCAGCCGCACTGATGGTGCCCCCTTCAGAACTTCCTCTTGCCCACCTCTGTGTGTTTGCAAACTATTTCATTGGATGGAGGCTTCTTTGGATGCTGGTTTTTGTCTTTTTTTAAGTACCACTCTTGCTGTACCTCCATTTACCCCTTGTAAATTCTTCCCCACCCACATGCCCACGAGGAAAACAATGTATGTCTCACACACCCTCCTACCACCGCCACTCACTGCCCTGTCCTGGTCTGCACACGCTCACTGCCCCGGCCTGGCCTCTGCACGCTCACTGCCCTGGCCTCACTTGCACACGCGCACTGCTCTGGCCAGGTTGGACTGTCACCACCACAGTGCTTTCCTGTGTCTGTGCCTGGCATATCCTGGCTCATTGTCAGTTTCCTTGTCAGTAGGATGATGTGTTTGGGTCTCTAAGGACCCATCTACTACAACCTTTGTGTAGCTGTGGGCTCCGCTGCCCCCAAGCCGGCGTCCGCTCTAAAACGTTCCCAATGCGTGGTCATCTTGTTTTCACTGTGACTCCTCCCTTCACTCACTGACCGCTCCCCAGCTTTGAAAGACCGATTCTGTTGCTGCCTTCTCTGCACTGTTTGCTCCTCTCTAAAGCACCGCAACATTCTTTGCATTATAGTTATCTGTGTGATCTCGACTTTGGGGCTCCCCTAGCATTGAGCACACAGTAGGTACTTAAGAAATAGATGCCAAACTGAGTCTGTTTGGGTCTCCTTCCTACAGAAGGTCAGGAGAACAGCTCTGGCTGAAATGGTTCTTCCGAGGCAGGTGACTGTGGGTCCGAGCGTGTGACCTCAGTCCCCATTCTGTCCTTTGATTGTGAGTAGAGACTGTCCCTGCCTCACTCCCCTCCCCCCAGGGCACACCTAAGCAGACGGTGTTGGCAGGGGAGGCCCTGAGGCCAGCTGGGCTCCTGACGTTGGGGCTGAGCCATCACAGGCCTTGGTGGAAGTGGGGAGGTAGGCACCACCCCTCGCTTAACCGCCCCTGGCACCCTCCCGCTTCCCCAAGAATTCCAACAAGCTTCAGAGATAAGCAGCCAAGTGGGGGAGGGTGGCAGGGTGTAGACAGAGGGCCAGAAAGACCTGGGTTCCAGTCCTGCCAATGACACTTGTGGCTGGGTGCCCCTTGGCAGACCACTTCACCTCCTCTGGCTCGCCTTGTTCATCAGCACAACGAGGCGACTGGACTTGTCGGCCTCTCCTAGCTCCAGGCCTCAGATTCTATGATCCTCTCTGGGCCTCAGTTTCCTCATCTGTAAAAAGGCCTTTCAGTGCCTTCCGTCTCCAGATCTGTGATCTGATTGATGCTTTTCTGCCATGAGTCAGCATTGCCAAACACTGTCCACTCCCAGAGGATGTGGGGTTCGAGCCAGCTCTACGTCCAGGGCCCAGCCCCCTGGGCCTGCTGCTTCCGGGGTCTCCTCTCCACCGAGGCTTGTAGAAAGGAGTAAGTCGGAGAGCTTCCACGTGTCCTCTCCCGTGTCGGCAGCTGAGAAAGCGTCACGTCCGAGGTTCTCTCTCCCAGCCCGTTCTGTGCTACAGCCGTGCCCTCTCCTCATTTCCCACAGCCCCAAAGACGCCTTACGAGCCCTGAAGAAGAGGATTGTGGGTAATAAAAACTTCCACGAGGTGATGCTGGCACTCACGGTGAGTGCCCAACCCCCTCCCAGCCGGGCCCTGCTCCCTCTGCTGCCCTGGGCTCTTTGGCGCTTTCTGCACCAGCACACACGTCCACGCGTGTGCGTGTTCCCTTGCTGTCTGTGTTGTCATACGAGGGCAAGAAAGGGGAGAGGTCTGGGGCCTGGGGCCCCGTGTGCTGAATGTTATTGTTGTTGCCCGGGAATCGGGAAAATGGTAGGAGGAGCCAGATGCTCAAGCCAGGGGTCCCCTGGGACCTTCTGCTTCACCTAGAGAGTTCTAGAAACCAGAGACCTAGAAGTCTCAGCCCAAGTGGGGGCAAACACATTTGAGGGAAACGTGGGTTAGCCCCGTGTACAAACTGGCTCCTTGGCTGTCTGCGCAGTCCATGGCTGGTGGGTGACAAGGGGACAGAGGGTGACAGAGGCCCTTCAGCCTCAAGGTTCCTTGGCCAGAGGAGGGGACGATGAGTTTCCTCATATCCGTTTTATATCCAAAGGAGGGTGCAAGGTTATAGGGAATATTCTGGGCAACAGAGCGGGGGAGAGGGTCGTGGTGGTGATAGTCATAGGAGGTTTGCCTTGGAGTGGCGGGAAGGGGGGCCCACAGTCTGAGCTTCACCTAATAGAGCTTCCTCTTCCCCCAGAGTTTGTGGCTGTGGGCTGTTATTTCTCCCCACCTTGGCTTTGCTCTGTCAAAAGGCTGTGGTTGGAAAGACTTCTTTTTGGGGCCTTATCTCCAAATAGCCCCACCATAGAGACTTGGATGTTTGGATTTTCTCTGTTTGCAAGGAGGAAGACCCTCTTCACGGGAAGGGCCCTTTCCTGCTTGGAATTCTCACCACTACCTTTGGCCCCTTCAGGTCTTGGAAACCTGCGTTAAAAACTGTGGCCACCGCTTCCACGTTCTCGTGGCCAGCCAGGACTTTGTGGAAGGGGTCCTGGTGAGGACTATCTTGCCAAAGAACAACCCCCCCACCACCGTCCACGACAAGGTTCTGATGCTCATCCAGGTGAGCGCCAGGCAGGAGGGGCAGGGCGATGGGAGGTCCAGGGAACAGTGGAGGTTCCCCCCAGAGAATGAGAAACATGGGCCTGGAAACCACTTCCCCCCAGGCCTTGAACTGGGAGATTCTTAAGACAAGACTGAGAGAAGAGAGAAGGCCGAAATCCATGGCAACGCCATCCCTGCAAGAAAAGTCAGTAGATGAGGAGTGGGGGGGCCTGGGTTCCAATCCTACCTCTGACACAGGTCAGACGTAAATGTGAAATGAGCGAGTTGGACTCCGTGGCCTTTGAGGTCCGCTCCAGCTCTAGGCGTCTGCGCTTCTGATCCCAGCCCTGACACTGGGTGCGTGGCCTGGGACCCTCCAATCATGGCCCAGTTGGGAGGCGGTCCCTGAGCAAGCCACAGAGAACGTGGGCTCTTCCCCACTTCAGATAGCAGCTCATTTCTTTGTGTTTGGCTTGGGCAGTTTCTGTGTTGGGGCTGCTGGTCTCTGGCCTAGACAGCCTCTTTCTTCCCTTCACTGTACTTTAGGGCTTACAAAGCCCTTTACAAATATTTCTCATTTATCCTCATAACAGCCCTGTAAGGTAAATGTGATTATTGCCCCCGTTTACAAATGGAGAAACTGAGGCACAGGGAGATTAAATGACTTGTCCAAGGTCATACACCTTGCCTCAGAGGCCAGAGCCGAACTCAGGACTTCTTGACCCCATGTCCAATGCGCTGTTTAGCCACCGCACCACCCAACTGCCTCAATGGCTGAGGACTCTTGCTGGGTACGAGGCGAGGGTGCTGTCCTGGGGTTTGGCACCAGCAGCTTGTTCGAGGCAGCATTCTCTGGGCTGAGACTTAGGAGACCTGGGTTCTGGTCTCAGCCCTGCCACTGTCTGTTAGGCCCTGAGGAAGTCCCTTGAGCTCCCATTTCCTCAGTTCCCTCATCTGCAAAATGGGAGTAAGCCCTTCATTAGCCCTGGAGAGAGTGATTATGAATGTAGAGTAGCATAGCTAGATGGGAAGGCCCTCTGGACTAGAATGCCCCACACAGCTGTCAAAGAATGATTCTGAGTCCTGGAAGACTCCTTCTGAGCAAGCCTCTGGTGTGGGCCCAGTGCCACAGACATCCATGCCAGGTGCTGGAAGTCAGAGACAGAAAGGAAAGAATCGTACCTCCCCTCAAGGAGTATCATCCTTTTTAAAATACATTGTTTAAAAAAATGTGTTGTCATCTTTTGTTTCGGCATCACTTGGTTGTCCAAATACATTACTCCTCCTCCCTGCCCAGAGAGGGTCCCTTGTGGCAAAGAATGAGGTGAGGTGCATGTTCAGGGAGTTCACAGTGTGGGGAGGGGTACAGCATACAAGCACACGAGCAAATGCAGTCTCACCCGAGAAGGGAGAGGTGAATATGGAAGGGCTTGCCTGATCCCGCCGCTCAAAGTCAGGTCCAGAGGTGAGCCTCATAAGAGGCTCTGGAGTCCAGGAATAGAGCTGAGGAGGGGGCACCCAAGCCCTGAAGGACCTGGGAGTCAGAACAGGACTACTAGCAGTTAGAGGCTGAAGACCTGGGTTTGAATCTTAAGTCTGATGATTAGGGGACCGCAGTGAGAAGTGAAAGAGACCTTAGCAGTCCTCTGATCCAACCCATGATCTATAGATGAGGAAACTGAGGCCCAGAGAGGTCACCCGGTTTGCTCCAAGATGTAACAAAAATGGGAATTGGACCCGAGTCCTCTCACTCTAAATCTGGTGACCTTTCCACTGTAGTCATCCCAGAACACCCCTAGCTCTCCCCGTGTCCAAGGTGCCTTCTAGCTGTAGCTCGTCCAGCCACCACGGGAATAGGTGAGAAGGCCAGGGGAGGGAAGGTCAGTGTAGTGACCAGCTGGGTCCGTCTCCTCTGTTCCTCTTGGCAGTCCTGGGCGGATGCCTTCCGAAGCTCACCTGACCTGACAGGAGTCGTGGCTGTCTATGAAGATCTCAGGAGGAAGGGCCTGGAGTTTCCCATGACAGACCTGGACATGCTGTCCCCCATCCACACGCCCCAGAGGGTAAGGAGGCTCACCACCTCCCATGCTCCCAGTCAGGCCGGGTCAGGCCTGTCTCCTTGCCCTGTGTGGACCAAGCTGAGAGGCAAGAAGGGAAGAGACAGAGGGCTTGGCCAGCTGCTTCCTACTGACCTGCGGGCCTCCCGAGTTTCTCGAGCCAGCCCTTGCTTCTCCCTCTCTCATTCGGTTTTTATCCCTAGTCCGTGTATAGCTCCGAGCCCCCACCAGGACAGAATTCGTCAGTAACACGGTCCAGCCAGCGCACAGACTCCCTGCAGCAAGCCGTGCCCCTGCCAGACGTGCCGTCCGCCCCCGATGACGTGCCTGTGACGCCAACACCGGAGCAGGTAAAGAGTGGCCTGGCTCACGGGGTTCAGTTCCCTGGGCCCCGGCGTCAGGAGCGAGGCTGAAGGAGTGAGGATCCTTAGACGGGCCACTCCTCCAGGACACGATCTGGGAGAATCCAAGAGCCGCACTGTAGCCATTGGCATTTGGGGAACGATTTTCTATGGCAGACCTACTGTTACCGTGGAGCCTCTCTTCCTCAGTCCCTCAGTTTCCCCCTCCTGAAAGAGTGCATTAATGAGAATGCCTTTGAGCTATTTTCCAACCATGTGTAGATCTCTGTGTAGACGATAACTTACGTTTCTCTGACACCCTAAGATTTAGAATCCAACTTCTAAGAAATCCTAGAGTACAAACATCGTTAATTAGAGGCTATGTTTCTTTGTGGATGGAGTAGTTGGCTCAGAGTCAGAGGTCCTCGGTTCAAGTCCCACCCCTGACCCATGGCAGCTGTGTGACCCTGTGCAGTTCCCTCCACCCCTCTGTGCTCTAGGCAGCTCACTGAAACCGAAAGGTGCAGAGAAAGTGCCAAACTGCACTGGTAAAAGGAGTTTCCTCACCTGAGAGTTCCCTTTACCAAGGAAATCTCAGGTCCAGACCAAAAAAATGCTAGACCGTACTGTTAGTGCAGCTGCCTGGCTGTGTGATAGAGTGAAGGGAGCCCAGAAGCTCGAGTGAGCCCTGGTTTTGACCTCCTAGCTGGGTAACCAAGGACAAGATGCCTGACCTTTCTGAACTTCATATTCTTCATCCTTAAAAGGATCGAAAGCTGTGCCATGCCCCTGCTCAGTGTGAGAATCAGTGTCGGCTGCTGAGAGACAGTGTGGCCCAGTGGATAGAGCCCCTCAGTTGGGGTGTGCCTCTGCCACCTGCTGCCTGTGTGTCCCTGGGTAGGTGGCAGGACCCTTCCGTGGCCCGGGCAACTCCGTAAGACACTCAGGTGCCAGAGAAGCACCAGCGTGTCCTGGTGAGAGAGGGTCCAACCCAGTACAGACAAGTCAAGACCTGTACCATGAGGCAGCAGGCTAAACCAGTTTTAAGTATCAGTCAGTCAGTAAACATTAAAGCACTTATTATGTGCCAGGCACGGTGCTAAACACTGGAGGTGCAAATACAAATGAAAACAAAATCCCCCCTCCAAGGAACTTCCAATCTAATGGGGGAAGACAACACACAAGAGGAAGGTGGGGGTGGGGGACGAAGGTAACTGGCTGGGGGCATAAAGGAGAGTCTAAAAAAGTCCAAAATCTGGTGGGACACGAGGAGAAAAACTGGACTGAGCCCCCCTGCTTAAACTGAGGCCCTGGAGCCCCTGGCTCTGCCCTCCCCGCCTGGCAGAGGGTCCTGATGACATGTGAGGACCAGGCACATTCGGGCTAGACTCATCATCACACACTCTCCTAATGATGAGCCTTCGTGGGGGAGGCAAGCACAGGGGACAGTCCAGAGAAGTCCAAATGCAGCCGTGCTCCTGGAGCTGGTGGGAAATGTGTATTTGCGCCACTGTTCCTTCCCACTCCCCCATCTCCCAGACACACGTGTACACCTTGGTTGTAGCTGACCCCACCAGTATTTCCAACGTTTGGTAGACTAAGCCGGTCCTTTCTAGAAGGGGCCTCAGGCAAGCAGCAGGCCCTCCTGTGCCCAAAAGCACAGACCTGGCCCTGCCCATTCCCCTGCCCTTCCCCCAGAGGGGAGGAGCCTGAGGGTCTCAGTGGCCTTGTTAGCAGCCGCCTTGGGCCGCTGGGGGAGATGCTGTAATTCTGCCATCAGCACACCTTGGGGTGCAGTCATTCTGACCCTGGTTTTCCTCCCTTTCCAGCTGTGCGGTTGGCTTGGAAATGGTAATGTTTGGAAAGGGCCACCAGGTGTGAGGGGCCAGAGATGAGTCTGGTGCGAAACGGGGGGACATCAGATCCCCACCGGAGAATGGCTTACATTCCTTTTGGGTCTGGGATGGGCCCTTGAGCTCCTGGGGAAAGGACCTATGTAAGCCTGGGGCTGGCTCTGCAGGGCATTAGGGCTGTATCACCCATGCTGACCCCTCAGATGCCATCTTCACCCAGCCAGGCCAAACATAAATGTGTATTTCAGATTGGGAAACTCCGCAGTGAACTGGAGGTGGTGAATGGGAACGTGAAGGTGATGTCAGAGATGCTGACCGAGCTGGTCCCCGGGCAGGCCGAGCCCTCAGACCTGGAGCTGCTGCAGGTAAGGATCCCTCCCTCAGGGGCTCAGCAGCCCCCTCATCTCTCCCCTTTCCAGGGGCCTCCCACCTGCTCAGGAAGATGCCCTGGGGGGCGCTGGGAGGGAGACTGAAGGCTTACCAGGTGACTTATACTCAGCTGTGTTAGCAGGTCAGGCCACCCTTTGGATGAGAGGGCAAGGATCAGTGCCCTGGGCCTGGGCCTAGGCGGGGTTCCTGGCATCCCGGCTTATTTACTTCTTGGTGACAGACACCACCACTGTGCTGTGTAGATCAGAAGTAGACAGAAGAACCCCAAGACACCCAGCACTGGCAGACCTGAACGGTGTCCTAACATTAGTCAGTGCTGGTTTAGTTTTTTAATTTAAAAAAACAAGTTACAATCACCTGTTTCCAAATATAGCTCTCCCCATTCCACTGCCTGGTGACCTATCCCTAGGAACATAATTTAGAGAGGAGAAAAAAGAAGCAGTTTCCCAAAACTAACCGCGTACCAGCTGAGTGTATCAGCATATGCAGTATTTCACCCCATAGCCCTCCACCTCTGCAAAGGAGGGAGAGAGGAACTTCTGAAAAGCACAGTGTGCAGCTGCAACCCGGAGAAGTAGATCAGTGTAACAGCAATTAGTGTCCCCATTTTACAGATGAGAAAACTGGCGTTCAGGTCACATCATAGCTAAGTGCCAGAGCCTGAAGAGGGATGCTGGAGGGGGACAGTAGAGGCAGTAGCTGGTGCTGGGGGTTTTGCCTAGAGTCTGCAGTGCCTCTGAGCAGAGAGAAGACCGAGCAGAAGCTTGGGGGGGGGGGGGCAGTCAGGGCAATGACATGGGTGTGCCATGTGAGCGGCATCCTCTTCACTCCAAAAAACGGTAGGGAGTGTGCTGATTTGTCAGGGCGACTATGCCTTTAAAGGTTAGGGCGCAGTTCAGTGGCAGATTTGGAGCCAGACCTCAGGCCTTTCTTCTTAAAGTTTCCTTTCCTGGATTATACTGAAGTCAGGCCAATACGCTCTTGAAAAGGCGCTTTGGGAGGTCCTGGCCTCAGTAGATGAGGGGCTTCACAAATACATTTTGAGGTTAGGAGCGTCGGCCTGAGACATCAGGAGATCCGGGTTCTTATCCCACGTGACATCCCATCGTCCATCTCTTCTGCCTCCTCAGCTTCTCCTTGCAGACCCCTTAGCTTCCTTTTAAAGAACCCCCTCAGACAAGGCCTTTTCTAATTGTCCCAGTTGGGAAAATCCTCCTCCCTGACTGTTATATTTACTTGGATGTATCTTTTATGTGGCTGTGAATATGTTATTTCTCCCCAGTAGACTGTAAGCTCCTTGAGGGCAGGGGCTGATTTGTCCTTGTGTGCACAGTGCCTGGCACATAGTGGGGATTCATAAATGTCTGTTGATTGATCTATCTGGGCACCCATTGTGTGAGATGAGACAAGTCACTCAGACCCTTCCAGTGTGGTGGTTCTGATGGAAGTCTGGAGTTTCAGCCACGGCCAGTGAGAAGAAAGCCAGGAAATCTGCCGCCTGCTTGCGTGACCTTGGGCCAGTCCCTGCTCACCCTGGGGCTCAGCTTCCTCCTCTTTAAAACGAGGGGCTGGCCTCTGAGACCCCTCTCAGGTCTAGAGCTAGGATGCTATGAACAGAATCCCAGCCAGGCAGGTGAGCATACAAGGCCTATTGATTTGGAAAATAATCAAATTAATGCTCCACTGCATCGCTTCCTGGCATGCTAGATCTGGAGCCAGAAGAGATCTCAGAGGCCCTCCACAAGGCCCTGTGAGCAGTGACTCGCCCAGGGTCACACAGATAGAGTGGCGACTTGGAGCCTGGCCCAACTCCTCCGTCCCACCCTGCCCAGCACACTGTGGGCGCCTGCCCTCTTGGCCATGCTGAAGGGGCTGACATCCACAGAGCCTTTGGGTGAGGGAGAGAGGAGCTTCCTGCCCGAGATGCTGGGAAAGGCTCGAGACGGTCCGGCCTCGGAAGGAACCGGCAGTTGCCCAAAGGAGACGTTTCTGTTGTGGGAGAAGGAAGTTAAGATGCAACCACAGAGCAGTTTGGTCACTGGAGGGACCAAGGGCAGGAGCCAGTGATGAAGCCGGAAGCCGCCCTGCCGTCCCATCTGCCAAGCAAGCAGGAAACCCCAGGCCTCCAAACCAGAGTCTGAGACAGGCCCGTGGTGCCCTCTGGAAACACAGGACCAGCAGGTGTCTTTACCAGAAGGCCATCCAGGGTCTTCTCAAAGCCTTCTGACAGTTGTGGGAGTGGAAGCCCAGAGGGAGGAGGGGGCTTGCTTAATCTCCCTTGGCCAGTCAGTGGCCAGGCTGAAACTAGAACCAGGGAACGGGCTGGTGGCCAAAGAACAAGGAGGCCTGATCCTCGTCCAGCCCCAAGGGACCTCAGGTTCTAGGACATTCTCATTTGGGATTCAGATGTCACTCTTTGGGACTTATATTAAAAAAGGATATTTGATGGGAAGGGCCTATGCTGATTGGTGATTTCCCAGGAGGCCTGGCGATTCTGGCCTTAGGGCAGGAGACAAGGGACAGCTTCCCAAATGGCCTCAGGCACTAACTGGTAAGAAAATGGTGTCTAGAATGGAGGCAGTGGCCTGACCCCGTGGGCTGTGTGATGAGCCACCAGGGTGCAGAGACGGGAGGTGGCACCCCTTCTGTGTGACAGCCGAGCCTAGGGCTGCCTCCACATGGCCCACCCGCCCTGCCGCCCTGCCACCTCCCAGATGGTGCAAGCTCCCACCCTCCCGGGCTTTGGCCTGTTATCGCCCCAGCTGTCCTGGCATTTCCCACTCCCCAGCCTCCCCACCAGGAATTGTTATTTACCTTGCAGTGTGTAAGTAGTTGGGGTGCCCAGGGAGCTGGCCTTGCAAACCCAGGTCTGAAAGGCTGTGGCTGCAGGAGGAAGGATGGGCGCTAGGGATCATGGGATCACGTACTAGAGTCAGTCAGTGAGCGTTTACTAAGTGCCTGCCATGTGCCAGGCACTGTGCTGAGCGCTGGGGATACAAAGGCAAAAGGCCCTGCCCTCCAGGGGCTTCCAGTCTTATGGGGGAGACAGTGTGTCAATAACTGGGAACACGTGAAATCTGTGCAGAAGGAGGAAGGTTACCTGAGCATGAGGGGACCTCAGATGCCATCGAGTCCAGCCCCCCACCCCCTTTACAGATGAGGAAACTGAGGCCCAGAAAGGTGAAGTGACTGCCAGGGTGAGACAGGAGATGCAGGGAAGCAGTGTGGGGGATTGGGCAGAGTCAGGGCGCCGGGGCTCCAATCTGAGCTCTCCCACATCATGGGAGTGACCCTGGGGGTGTCACTGTCCCCTCCCAGGGCCCCCTCCAGCTCCAGAGCCAGGGTCCTGGCCATGGTGCACAGAGCAGGGCACTGTTGGTGCTGACGGCTGCCATTTTCATTGCACTTACCTACATCATCTCGTTAGATCCTCATGATAGCCTTGGGAGCTGGGGGCTGTAATTGCTCCTGCTTTACAGATGAAGAAACCAAGACCAAGAAAGGTCAAACCCAGGCCCACAGCTAGTTGGGGAGTGCCTGGGTCTGCCTGACTCCAGGTTCCACACTGTGCCCACCACATCCCTACCACACTCCCTGCCCTCTACTGGGGCGACACCGATCAGTGCCCAGCCGTCCCCAAACACCCCTGGATGCAAAATGGAGGCCCTGACTTGGCTCTGCCCCAGGCGTGGAGGGCCCCGCCCACCCCCTCCTTCTTACCTGTTTCCCCCTCTGTGGTCAGGAGCTGAACCGGACGTGCCGAGCCATGCAGCAACGAGTCCTTGAGCTGATCCCCCGGGTCCTCAACGAGCAGCTGACCGAGGAGCTGCTCATGGTCAACGACAACCTGAACAACGTGTTCCTGCGCCATGAACGGTAGCCCCGCCCCTGCCCGGGCCCTTCGCCCTCCTGCTCCACTGGGGTCTGGCACCGTCGGGGCCACCCTCTCACTGGCAGGCCCGGCTTGCTAGGTCTGGCACCGTCGGGGCCACCCTCTCACTGGCAGGCCCGGCTTGCTGGGTCTGGCACCGTCGGGGCCACCCTCTCACTGGCAGGCCCGGCTTGCTAGGTGGACTCTGGGTCGGCCCTCTCTGGATGGAGCCACAGTAAGAGTAAAATGGGGCTTAGAGTTAAGACATACAGGCCAAAAGAAGGCATCCTTGCAGGACCTGTGCTCCGAGAGCTTGAGGTGCCCGAGAGCCTCTCTGCCAAGCTGGGGGTGGGTGGGAATATCTCCCTGAGGAATCCAGAATGGAAAGAGACCTGAGCCCCCATCCCCTACACCATCTCCCTAGTGCATCAGTCCAAAAGGATAAGATGGTAAGGGAACTACAAGCCCTGCTGGGCCAGAATGGAACCTGGACAAGACTTAGGGGCTTGGGTCATCGGGCTGTGTACAGGGCTTTCCTGGGGCCAGTGGATGGAAGACCCAGAGAGGCAGCTGTCAGCTCCATATAAGGAAAGGTTTTCTCAAAATGAGACTCCCAGAACGGCATGGGCTGCCCTGGAAGCCTTCCAGCAGAGGCAGGTGCCCACTCATCCGATCTTGGGGGGGAATTCCAGCTCAGATGCAGGCTGCCCTGGCCCCTCTCTGAGGACTCCTCCAGCTCAGGCGTTCTGGAATCTGTGAGCTCCAGCCTGAAGCCCCTCTCTGCTTCCTCGCAGGTTTGAGCGGTTCCGAACAGGCCAGCATAACAAGGTAAGAGACCGGGGGAAGATGTGCTCAATCCCTCAGTAAGTCCCCATTGATCCCCACGTGGGTAACCTCCCGCATCCTCACAGCACCATCCGTGTCAGTGGGATGTCTCTGTTTGGCACTGACAGCCCGACGCTGCCGGCCCCCCCTCCACACACCCGCCAGTACAGCCAGACTTTGTTACCTTGACTCACACGTGACGCTCCCTCTCCCATCTCTCACCTCCACGTCTTTGTACTCACCAGCTGTCGCCGTGCCTACAGTCTTCTCTCTCTTATCCTCTAGACCTCTTGAAAGTCTGTTTCTTTCGAAATTCAATTTAGTGGCCACTTTCTACGTATGGCATTTTTTCTGACCCCTCCCCCCAAACTGTTAGTGAGGTCTCCCAACCCAGATTACCTTGTATTTGTCTTGTATGTACGTCCTTATATCTGTGCAGGCTGTCTCCTGTTAGACTGTAAACCCCTTGAGGCCAGGTACTGTTTCGTTTCTGTCTTTGTGTCCTTAGCAACTGGCACGATTCTGTAACAGGTGGTATAAATGCTGATCAATTGTACAACTGATAAGTCAATCAACAGACACTGAGTGAGCACCTACTGTGTGCCAGGCACTGTGCATGTGCTGAGGCTACAAAGAAGCAGCAAAAACAGGCCGGCTCTCATTTCTATGGGGGAAGATAGTAACACACATCATTATATACAAGATAACTGTAGAGTGTATGGAAGAGCCTGGGGCCAGACCCAGGCAGATCTGTGGGCTGTAAATTAAATGGGGGCACCAAGGTGGAATTGGGCCTTTCCCAGTGCTGCTCATCCCACCTGGCCGGGCATGGTGTGTGGGCTCTCGTGCCTGGTTTCACAGAAGCCCCCTAAAGCCCGTGGTCCCTCACCATGGGCAGCTGCCTTCAGGAGGCGAGAATAACCGGGCTTCCCTTCTGAAGGTCCCACATGAGGGAGAGCCAGCCACCAATCTGATTGACCTCAGCAGCGCCAGTCCTGCCCCGGCGGGGCACCAGCCTGAAAGCCCCGGGACCCTCTCCTCTCAGCTCGCCGGGATGAGTAAGTGAGCGGGCCAGCTTCTGGGGAAAAGCGTCTGGTTGGGGATCACAGCAGTGCGCCCTCTTCTGTTGGACGGCCAGATTCAAGCAGGGTGGGAGCCCCGAGGCCGGCTGCCGCCTCTCCGGTTTCCCACCAGCCCCAGGGTGGGACCTGCAAGCTGTGGCCCAGGCCCTGCCAAGGAGGAGGGACATTAAGTACTGCCCCCCCGGGGCTCAGCCCTGGCTGGTGCTGGGCCTCCGGCCTTACCGGTTCCTTGCTGCACGACCCACCGCATGAGGCTTTCCCAGGGACCCGGCGAGCTTGGGGGATGACCCCCAGGAAGCTGGAGTCCGGGAGCCACCAGTGCCCTGTAGCCCCAGTCTGGGAGCTTTGGCTGCCTCTGCTTTTATTGCTGGCCTTGGGGCAGCCTGAGGGGAGAGCCGTGGGCGTGGGGACTGGCAGTGGCTGCTGCCGCGCTGCCCACAGGAGAGCCGGTGGTGTGTAGGAAGGAGGATGATCTGCGCCTGTCGCCATGCCTTTGCATTGACTGTGCCTCCTGCCTAGATTGCCCTCCCTCTTCACCCCCTCCCCCACCTATAGACTCCTCCTCCCATCTACCGCTCCCCAGCCCTACCCCCCACTGCTGAGGGGGCAGCGAGGTAGGACTGGTGCTGGGCCTTGGGCACTCGGCCACGTGGCCAGGACAAACCAAAGGTGATCCCTTCCCCCTCTCAGGGGGAAGATCTTGGGATCCTAGTGGCCCCCCTTCCAAACTCCCCGGCATTCGTGGTATTTGTTCATGAGATACTTCACGTGTCCCTGTTGTTGTCCCCCATTGGGAGGTAGGCTTCCTGAGGGGCTTTATCAGCGCCCTCTGACTGCCTGGCCTTTCTCCCGCAGACCTCGGCACCAGCAGCGTCAGCGCCACGCTGCAGTCTCTGAACACCTCGGGAAAACTGGAAGACGAGTTTGACATGTTTGCCTTGACTCGGGGGAGCTCCCTGGCAGATCAGCGGAAGGAGTGAGTGGGGGTGGAGGGGGAGCATGGTCCTCGCCATCCTTGGCACCCGCTTCTCCGCCGGCCGAGGCACTGGGTGCTCCTGTGTGCTCAGCCCCCAAGTCTGGCAGGAGGATCTGAGTCCTGGCACTGCCAGCCAGGGCCTGTAAAAGTCCCCCGTGATCCCCCATGATCCCTCAGGGCTCGTCCAGCCATCAGTCCTCTGGTCCTACCAGCATCTTACACCAGATCCCTGAGCTCCAAAGGGAGCTTCCCCGGGCCTCAGTTTCCTCATCTGTAAAATCAGGCAATTGGACTTGGTGGCCTGTGTGCTCTAGACCTCAGATCTTGTAATGGCCTGGACTGGCCACCCCGAGGACCTTCGATCTCCCAATCTCAAGTTTCTCTAGCCTCTTTGGGGCCCACTTTCCTTCTCTGTAGAATAAAGGACCAGGACTCCCTTCCAGTTCCAGAGCTGGGATCCCATGCTGTGTGACCTGGGTAGGAAGGGTCACACCAGTCACGACCATGAGAAGAGGCCCGGGCCAGCCCCATGGCTGGGGAGGCTGGAGGCCATCACAGATGACAGAATGACCCTTCGGACACTTCTGCACAAATCCGAGGGTGCTCTCATGGCCATTTCTCAGAGGGAGGGAGGCGAGGGCGGAACAGCCCACAGAGCCCGAGCCCAGGCCCCCCAGGCCCCCCCAGTGGTCAGCCTCTGGGGATGTTGGTAAATCCTGAGGGTTTTGCCCCAGCTTTCCTTCTTCCCCTGGAAGGTGCTGCTGATCCGTGGGGTGAGCCTGCCCTCCTTGCCTGGCCTCGGGGGCCCTGGTGCCTCCCCTGGGGTGTCCCGTTTGTCTGGGAGGTGGTGTCAGCAGAGATGTGCATTAGCCCGAGTGCCTGCCTGCCCAGAACCAGTTGGCTGCAGTCTCATCAGGGCGGGGCAGCACCCCCATGTTGTCGTGGGTGGGATGAAGGGCCATTTTTGTCCTTAAGGTTGGCTCTCCCCTCAGGGCCTAGCTTTGGGTGGCTCATCAGATCCTCAAGCAGAGAGGAGGAGCTCCAGGCCAGGAAGGAGATCATCCCCAGAGGCAGACCACAGGCAACCAGCCCAGGGGGTCAAAGACCCTGTGAGATCTCTGATGGTCTTTGGGAGTAAACAGGATGGACCTTTCCCAAAGGAGGCCAATTGGGCCTCCCCACTTGGGCCAGAATGCTTTAATCCCAAGATCTCAGGTCCGTGGTTATAGGCAAACATGTGGTGCTGCTCACAGACCTAGGCCACTGACCACAGCGTCTCCCAAGCTGGAATGCACTTCAAAGGTCGTGTGGTCCAGCAGGCCCCGCTCCAACATCCCCAGCAGGTGGCCGGCCGGCCTTCGGTTGGAACCTTCAGAAATAGGGAACTCCCATGAGGAGGTGGGAAGAGCCCTGACCTTAGTCAGAGAAGCCACGTTAAAACCCAGCTCTTCACTCAGTAACCTTGGGCGGTCGCTTAAGCTTGGGGGAGGTGGGGTGTGGTTCAGACAAGGTGATCTCTGAGCACCCTTCCAGCTCTAGACTGCAGTTCTGGTGGTCCAGAGCCCCTCCCCCTCTTTGGGCCTCATTGCTGGATGGCCTTGGACAAGTCACTTCAGCTCTGTTCAGTGTTCCGTGAGGTTCTCCGAGGCCCTTTCCAGCCCCCCGTGTTTGATTCTTTGTCTGGGCCCACTCACTACATGTGCGTATTTGCCCATCTCCTCAACATCGACAGCAGAATGGTGGCCAGCGAGCACAGGGTAGTGAATTTGGGGAAAAGCAGGGAAGGAGCCGCGGAGGCCAGCCTCAGTAGCCTTGGGCTCTGGCCGGCCACGCTAACAGCTGGCCTCGTGAGCATGCTGGTGGGCAATGTGACCATCTCGCACCTTGCCCTCTGTGCGTCAGCCTGGGAGCAGAGCTGGGCAGCCTGAGATGCTCCCTGCTCGGCCTGGCACCAGCAGGACTCTTGGAAGGGGCCTCTTGGCCTGTTTCAGAATCAAGGCCACTCCTTGGGGTTGGGGGGCAGGATGCCTTGGGTTTGATTGCCTGTTCCCAGGCCTGCTGCGATCTCACCTGTCTCCTTCCCAGGGTCAGACCTGTCTGGACAGTGAGAGATGCAGGGCGCACAGTAGGCGTGCCTCTTGGTGAACAGTGAGTGTCATAGGGAACACAGTTGGTAATGCTTCTTGGTGAACAGTGAGGGGTGCGGGCACACAGTAGGTATGCCTCTTGGTGAACAGTGAAGGCTATGGGGCACACAGTAGGTGTGCTTCTTGGTGAACAGTGAGTGTCGTAGGGAACACAGTTGGTAATGCTTCTTGGTGAGCTGACATCTGCCTTTCTAAAGGGAAGGCAAGTCCTGCAAAGCCTTCGACATGGGCGTCTGCAGGCATTGTCTGCGACTCTCTGTTTCTGTGTCAGGACTGAAGGAAGTGTCCTGTAGTAGGAAGAGCCCTGGGCTAGGTGTGCCAGCTTAGCCTCCCTTTTATCTTCTCCAAGACGAGCTGACCCTCAGTGACTTGGCCAGTCATCTCTAGCCCAACCCTCTCATTTGACAGATGAGGAAACTGAGGCCCAGAGAGGTTGGGACTTGCCTAACTGACATCCCAGAAGTAAGATGCATCATGGGTATTAGGGCAGGCAGCAAGAATCCCAGCAATGTTTCTTTGGTGAGTTCTTAATAACCTTGAGAGATGTGGGCTAGGAATTTGGGAAAACTCATTTGCAAGACCCCTTTAAGGCCAGAGTAAACTCAGCTGTGCCTAGGAGCCAGGAGAGTGTTTAGCTTGATCTGGAAGTCATGGGGTCACTGCTGAGCCTTCAGTGGCTGCTCCCCCCCCCCAGAGCTTCGGTGTCCAAGGCTCACGTGGGTCAACCACAGCCCACCTGGCCCCTCTGCCCAGAACTGGGCCGTGTCCTGCCCTTGGCCCTGGACGAGGTCTGCCTTTATCTGCCAGGGGCCCTCCAGACGTGGGTTCCCCGAGATCCAGGGAAGCTCCAAGGCCTCTGCCCCACCCCTAGTTACTCCCTGGCTCCCCCAGGGCCCTGCTCTCAGACACAACAGCATCTGTCTTCTTCCCTCATTTTCCTGGCCTCTGGAGTGAGGTCTAGGCTGCCTCTCAGCCTCGGCCAGGCTCCCCACCTTTCTCAGCCTCGGCTGCATTCTCTGGACCCCGTCTGGACCCAGCCTCCCCCTTCATGCTGCCAAAAGAATGGAGTGACTCACTTCACTGAGGTGTGGAGGGAGGAAAACAGGCATCACTCTGTGTCCTGGGAGTCACTCACCACAAAAACAGTGATAGGAGTTAGAGCCATGTTATCACTCCTTTGGGAACTCCCAGGTGAGGCTGCTCTGTCTCCCAGGGCTGGACTCGGGCAGGTTAGGATACTGTGTCAAACATGCTTCCTAGCTGGATGACCCTGGTGACCCCGGCAGACCGCTTAGCTCTCTTCTGCCTCAGTTCCCTCATCTGTAAAATGGCCATAACAATAGCAGCTGCCTCTCGGGGCTTTTGCAGGGTTAAGTCCCAGCTCAGATCCTACCTGTCCCCACCCCTCTCAGTTCTCCTGCCTGTAGCTTGCTTATATATGTTTGCTCAGCTGAAACTGTGAGTTTCTTGAGGCCAGGGACTGTCTCTTGCCTCTTTCTGCTTCCCCAGCTCCTGGCACACAGTAGGTGCTTAACAATTGTTTATTGACACTGTACTGCCAGGCCTCTTGCTGCCTTCTGGGTCCTAATAACGATCCAGATGACATTTTGTCCATCACCTAAGGGTTAGCTAAGACCTCCACATACAGCTCTGCCTTTGAGCCTGAGGCTGTTGCGTTTTACAGATGAGGAAACTGAGGTGAGTGGCTTGCCCATGGCCACAGACCAAATTGGCATCAGCCGCGAGGTCTGAGCCCAGGTCTTCCGGCCTCCGGGTCCACTCCTCTGCCTCAGCGATCCCAGTCCCCGGGTCCTGCCCCCAGGGCTGTCGGGGATCACTGATGTCATCCCGAGGGCAGGGTCCGAGCCAGGCCATCCGCATCATCCCAGTGGGTGAGTGCTGATGAGGCAGATAATGGAGATAGCGCAGATGAAATGGGGGAAGAATGGGTGGAACCGGACGAGGAGCAGGGGAGAGGGGAAAGAAACAGAAAGGAATGAGCATTTATATAGTGCCTGCCATGTGCTAAACGCTTTCCAACAACACAACCCCCATTTTACAGGTGAGGAACTGAGGCACACAGGGCCAAGTGACTTGCCCAGGGCCACCCAGCTGGTAGTTATCAAGAGTCCACATTTGAACTCAGGTCTTCCTGACTCCAGGCCCAGCACTCTCGGTGCTGTGGCGCCCCCTAGCAGCCTCAGTGGGGATCACGTCCTACGTTGGCCACCAGAACGTGCAGAATGAGAAGGCCTAACTCTCCTGGGCTCTTTTGTGGATGGTGGGCCCAGGGGCAGCAGGGCTAGATATGAGGCGGAAGACCGAGGTTCAGCTGCCGGCCCGGCTGCTTCCCTAGTGTCGTCTGTCCTTCTCAAAGAGGACTGATGACATCGCGAGGATGAGCTCTGGGCTTGCTTACCTGGGTGACCCTGCACAAGCCGCGTGACCTCTGTGGATCCAGTGAGCCTGGAGGACCCTCACATCATCCTGTGACTTGTCCTCTACCCAGAGTTCTGATGGCATCCTCACCAGTAACAGCACACCCCCCACAGGAGCAGATGGAGGCCCCTCCGCCTTCCCAGCCTGTGCGATTCAGCTCTGGGACATTCCACGAACGGGCATCCCGTTCTGAGGCTAGAAGCGGCCACCTTCCCGCTTGGCTCAGGCTGGTTCAGGAGGCGGTTAAGCTCTCCCTGGAGAGGAGGCTGTGTGGTTTAAAGGGGCTTGTCACCGACAGGGCCTGAGTGGGAGAACTGGGGTCCGGAGGTCAAGGTTCCCCAGGGCTGACGTCCCGTTAGCAGTTTCTTTGGGGCCGCAGCAAAGCTGGTGGCAGCTTTCAGCCTAGTTGATTAATTGATGAGCATTTATTAATGTGCCAGTCACTGTGCTAGGTGCTGGAGGAAAAACAGAAGTTAGGCCCTGCCCTCAAGGAGTTTACATTCTAACAGACAGAAGGGCATGGGGGCCCAAAGGAGTCTCAGGGCACCAGCGGAGCAGCAGCTGTGGTACCCTGCCCAGGGACGAGGGCAGAGCTGATGGCATCAGACGTAGTGGCCACTGGCAAGATGGCCTGGGTGGAAACCTCCTCCAAGCCTCTCTCCCTTCCCCTTCCGGCCCTCCTCGACTCCTCCCAACAGCCCTGGGTGGTTGGCACTGTCTTTATCCCCATCTTAAAGGTGAGGAAACCAAGACTGGGAGAGAAGAAAGGATTTGCTCAGGGTCTCCCAACTAACAAGTGTCTGGAGCGGGATTCAGACGCGGGTCTTCCTGCAGACATCCCCGTGGAGGAGGACTGAGTCTGCTTCCGTTTTGCAGAGGAAGGAAATGAGGCCCAGGGAGACACGCATGGGTCTTCCGTTGGCGGAGACCTTGGGGGCCCGTGCAGTGCCTTCTCGGCACCCGCGTTTCGTATCCCGGGCTCAGCTTCATCCTGAACCGCCTCATTTGTCTCTTTCAGAGTCAAGTACGAAGCCCCCCAGGCAAAGGACGGACTGGCGGGAGCCCTGGATGCCCGGCAGCAGAGCACTGGAGCGGTAAGTCTGAGAAGTGCCCACCAGGCACCCGGACCAACCTGCCACTGGGTACACACACCCAAAACCCACACAGTCCCTGCCCGCAGGAAGCGTGTGTTCTCATGGCTCCGTGGCCACAGGCTGCTCGTCTGAGCTTACACAGAGAGGCAGGACAGCAGAGTGGCGAGAGCTGTGGCCTCGGAGTCAGCAGGACACTGACCCTGAGTGAGTCCCCTTCGGCTCTCTAGGCTTCATTTTTAAAATGGGGAGATTGGACTCAGGGACCTCCTCAGTTCCTGGAATTCTGTCCCTAAACCTAGGGTCCCGTGAGGAAACCTTGGGCTAGACCTCGGGGTCAGACATGCTGGTACCAAGCACGCCTTTATGTGGGCCACACTCAGACCCCAGGCAGATGCCCGCTTTCTGTGTCCCAGCCCCAGCTCACTGAGAGAGCAGACTGAGGCATGTTGGCTTGCTTTGAGTCAGGGATAGTGGGAAGAGAGACGGGGTTAGCCCAGCTCAGTTCACCATCCAGGAGATGGGCCAAGGATGCATGGGACGCCAGGGTCAGCTAGATCAGCCCTTTCATTTTACAAAGGAGGAAACGGAAACCAGAGAGGGGAAGCACTTTTTCCAAGGTAACGCAGCTCATTGATGGCAGGACCCAGAGGAGAAGCATCATGGCAGAGTATGTGAGACATTCAGTGACTTGTCCAGGGTCACACAGCTGGCTGCCACATAAGAGATAATGTCCTGAACTGAATGCGGTCAATGACCCAGACACATGGTTCAAACTGGAGTGCCACCAGTGTGTCACTAGTTCAGGGTGGGCGCAGGGTCATAGTGGGCATGGCAGATTTCCAGAAAGGAAGAATCCCAGTCAGTATTACTGTTTGTGAATGAAGCTTGTGTTACCATTCCTGTTTGAAGGACCCTAATAGTGTCTAAAAGGAAATTATATTGGTGATTTCTGCATGGGGAGGAGGGGGTGATAGCTCTTCAAAAGGTGGTGAGCATCCTGTCACTGAAAGTATTCAAGCAGAGAGATTGTCCATAACCACTCATGGGGATTGTGAGAAGAGATTCATCCCTAGAGCAGGAGACTGGACAAAATGACCCCTAGGGTGGTATGAAAGTTCATACCACCTGGGCTCTACTCAGAGCCTACAAGCCCCAGAATTTCATGTACTGTACCCCAAAAGCTTATGAGCTCACTTCTCATGCCCATTCTCTTGGAACTATTTGGATCCTTGGACCAAGACGCTCATTCAGAGCTTGAGAGGCTCTCTGCGATGGTGGAGGGGGGCGGTGCCAGGGGATAGAGCAGCCCCCTTTTTTCCCACTGTTCCTTAAAAAACAATAAGGCATCTTGAATCAGTCTCTGCATAGGAGAAGACCTGGGCTTCCCGGGGACCCCGTTGCCCTACATCCGCCCTATTTGCAGTAGCCTTCATTGCTAACGTTCTCTCAACTAGATGGAAGGCAGCAGTGAGGAGGCCCTCAGCGCCTGGATGGCGAATCAGGGAATGGTGAGGCTGGGCCAGAGGAGCCCCGGACAAAGGAGCATTTGGGGGCATGGCCAGGCAAAGAAGCAGCAAGGGGACAGTGAGCCACAGGGGCCTCCCCTTGCCTGGGCATGCCTGGGCTACAAGAGTCCCCACGTGCTTCTCTGCCAGTCTGGGAAGGCGGGTGCAGGCTGCCCAAGGGCTCAGGCCACTGGTCACTTTGCTGCAGCTGGGTTGGGCTCTCCCTTCTGCTTCTGCCTCTACAGCCCTGGGCATCTGGCACTTCCTCAGGGTTGGGCCCTTGGCCTAGGCTGCCTGGGAACGGGCCTGGGGAGAGCTTTCTCCCTGGGCTGGAAGGGCCATGGTGGGTAATGGTGCACAGGAGGGCGCCTGCTGCTTGGCTGTGGTCCTTTGTGCCTTCTCCTGCCCTGGGAAGTTTTCTGAACCATTCTGGGCTGATGGCCCCTGGAGGGCATAGTGCTTGGCAATTATCTGGAGCCGGGGGACGGGTGCTGGGCTGGGAACAATCTCTCTTTCTCTCTCTGTGACTCTCTCCCTGCCCCTCCCTCTCTCCCTTTCTCTCTACATCTTTTGCTCTCTCTCTCCATTCATCACTACCTCTCCATCCTCTGTCTCTCCCTCTCCCTTGCCCTCTGCTTCTGTCTTCAGTCTTCTCTACCTGTATCTCTCTTCTTTTTTCCCTCTCTCCTTCCCTCACTTGCCCTTCCTATTCTGATCCATGTTCTCTCTCTCTCTCTCTGTGTGTCTCTCTCTTTCTTCTTCTTCTTCTTCTTCTTCTTCTTCTTCTTCTTCTTCTTCTTCTTCTTCTTCTTCTTCTTCTTCTTCTTCTTCTTCTTCTGCTTTTCTCCCTTGTTCCCTCCCTCTGTCCCTCACTTTGCCTTTCCCCCTTCTTCTCTATCATTGTCCCCTCTTCCTTCCCTCCCTCTCTTCTTCCCTATCCTTCTTTCTCCCCTTGTCTTTCCCCCTCTCCCTTCTCCCTCTCCTCCCATTATTTTCTAGCCATGGTTTATGAAGACAGACCAAACCTTTCAAACTTCCTTGCTGTCTCTCTGGCAGCCAGGACCCCATGCAGCAGCCACTGGCCGTGGACATCAGGCTAACCTAGTTTTTCTTGGTCATGATGCTGCCATCCCCTCTGGCCCCTCATAAGGCTCTGTTGTGAGCTCTGAGCCTTCACAGGCAGATACGAGAAGGCAGGGGGTCGGTCCATGGTGCCCCCATCAGAGAGCCGGCAGCAGAGGTGGGGTGGGCCTTAGACACGAGCCTCAGTCAGTGTGGGGGCTCAAGCTAGACAGACACCTCTCTGGCCAACAGCCCCTCAGACCTGAGGGAGCACCCCTGGACTAGGAGAGGTCTTCACCACTGGCCCACACTAGGCTTGGGCTGCTGCTCACTGTCTGTCTCAAGACTCCCCAGGCCCAGCTGTCCATGGGAAGCCCAGAAGCCCTCAACCATTTACTGTCATGATCTTGCCAGACTCCATCCCACGAGGATGTGAGCTGGAGAAAGAACTCCAGAGCCTTCTTATGAACTTTAACCCACCAAGCCAGGACAGCCAGGTTCAAGTCCAGCCTTTGAGACGTCCTGGCTGTGGGGCCCTGGACAGGTCACTTACCCTCCAGTCCAGCAGCACCGACCACAAACTAACATTTTCTGTGTTGTATTGTGTTTTTATTTATTTTCTTAAACACTTCCGGCCGCTTCTTAACTGGTTGGGCAACCTCATGATGTCTTGGGGCCTCTTCAGAAACAAAGGACAAACAACAATGGTCTGGCTGGAGCCAGGAGCTCTAGACAGCGCTCTGGGTCTCAAAGTTGAGAGAAGGCGCCAGCCAGGATCGGTGAAGAAACTGAGTGTCAGGCGACGGGCTTGTCCCAGGGCCACCTGGCCAGCGCATAGTGGAGCCAAGCCTGGGCTCAGCCTTCCTTGCTCTTGACCCCGTACTCTGAGCACAGAAGGTGCTTCCTGAGTCACCCACGACGCTGTGGGCAGGCGGCCTCCTCTGGGCACCGTGGCTCGCACTCACGCGTCTCTCTGCTTGCCTTCCAGATCCCGGTCACTCAGGCCTCCCTCATGGAGGACATCGAACAGTGGCTTTCCACCGATGTGGTGAGTAGTCGCCGGGCCCCGAGGGAGGGCCCAAGTGTCGTGGGCAGCAAAGCCTGATGAGATGCGCTCACAACCCAGGCTGGTCCCTCGGAGGAGCAGACAAGGAGCCCAGGCCTCAGCTACGGAGGCAGGGCCACCAGCACCCCCACCCTTCCTGCATGGAAAGGCTGTGAGAACCTTTCCCAAGCAGGCCAAGCAGGAAGTGCCGGGGAGCCTGAGGAGGGGACTCCTAGGATGCTAGATCAGAACTGGGCAGTGGAAGGGCTGGGAGGACAGGGAGAAGGCCAGTGTAGCTGCCTGTCATGGGTGTGGAGGGCAGAGAAGTGGAAGAAGACTGGAAGTGAGGGAGAAGGGGCCGTTTAATCCCACCCCTCCTTTTAAAGATGAGGAAACTGAGGCCCAGGAACATAAGGAGACGTGCAGACAGTGTTGGGAGCCCCCCTCCAAGGGAGGAGGTCAGCGGCCTAACCATAAGGGGCCCCTTGGACTACACGAGGGGCAGATTTCAGCTCCAGGGAAGGGGAAATTTCCTGATAGCTTGAGATGTCGAGAAGGGGACAGGGGCTGCCTCAGGAGGCAGTGGGCCCCGCCCCTCTCCCAGCACAGGCCGGGCCAGTCAGGTATGTCGTTCATGTATGAGCTGGACTAGAGAGCCCCTAGGTCCCCCCCCCAACTCCAAGATTCTGAGAGAAGGTGGGGAAGGGAGCAGGGCCCTTGGCATCGCTCACCCCCAGACTCCTAGGGCACTCCGGGGCCCAGACTCCCTCTTCCCCTGGTGAAGTCATCCTTGGGGTCGGCGTTGGGGGCGATGGCCGGCCCTTCTCCTGCCCTGTCCCAAACCATCTCATCCCTCACCTCTTGACCAGTCAGTGAGCTGCAAAGCACAAAGAATCAAATAACCCCTGCACCTAGGGGACTTCCGTTCTAATGGGGGTGACAAGCACCTACAGGAATGGAGCCAGAATAAAGGCGGGGTGGGGGAGGGGCTAGGAAAGGCTTCAAGCAGCTGTTACTGGAGGGATTCCACACACGGGGGTGAGGAGGGAGGCCATTCCTGGCCCCTCATGCAAAGTCACAGAGGTGGGAGATGGCCCGTGATGAGCGAGAGAGAGGGAGTGTCCGAGGAGGCTGTAGAGGGAGGCTGGGCCCAGGTTGTGAAGGACTTTGAATGTGAAACCAAAGAGTCCTTGGACTGCCCATGGGCCAAAGGGCATCTCCTGGCACTTCTGCAACGCCTCCGGAGGAAGATGGGTGTCCTGGCGCTCTGCGCCTCCTCTCCCTCCCTCCTCCCGCTCTCCTCTCTTCCTATTCCTCTCCCCCACCATTCATTATCCCGGGTATCAGTAAAAGCTGCCCGAGGGACTAAGGTCCCCAGCACTGAAGGTCTTCAGGAGGAAGATGGATGCCAGCTCGGTGGGGATGCCATGGGGGGGCTTCTCTCCCTGTCTGTGTGGGAGGGTTTGATCCCAGAGGCAGAGTGGGAGGCCAGGTCCCAGCTCTGCCCCCACTTCCTTTGTGACTTTGAGTAAATCCGGCTCTTAGGATTGGGCTGAGCTAACATGCCAGGATCCCATGATCCTTTTCCTTCTTCCTCAGGGAAATGAAGCGGAGGATTCCAAAGGGGTCACCAGCGAAGGTAGTGGTCTCCTTCCTCCTCTCCTCCCCTCCCCTTCCTCCTTTCTTGGCACACCCATGTAAGCATCTTGTTTCTTGTAAGGAAACTGTGGTTTACAACGAACAAACTTTACCCCCTTCTCCCTTTATTAGAAACAAAGGTTGTTGATGCTGTTTTGGGCGTTGCTGCCCTTTTCCAGTACTAGCACCCCTCTCCAAGCAGAAACCTCCCTTGTAATAAAGAACCATTAGGCAAAAGCAAACCGACACACTGATCACTTTTCACAGCATATGCTCCATGTTACACCTGTGGTCCACCACCTCTCTACTGGGAGGCAATGGCGCTGTGTCCATCCCCTGTCCTCTGGAGCCAGTATAACCCTCTCCCTGGCAGCAGACGCTCTGTCTGCTGTATTCTGGTCATCCTAACTCTACTCTCTTTCTTTCCATCAAAGAATTTGACAAATTCCTGGAGAACGGGCCAAGGCCGCCGAGAGGCTCCCCACCCTCCCCAGCCCTCCAGAAGGATCATCCGGCTCTGCCCCCCAGAGGAAGAAGGACAAAGACGATGACTCCCTCTTTGCCTTGTGAGCCCTGGGTTCGAAGGCACTGCACCCAAGGGGACTGAAGGCCCCTTTCCTTTTACCTGCTAGGCTGGGGTCGGGACGGGGAGGTCCCGCTGGGCCTCTCCTCCAGCCTCGGCGATTAGGCTGCTTTGGGTGGTTCGTTAGCTTTTATCCCAGGAGGTAGCTTGGGCTGGGCCGGAACGTGCAGAGGGTCGGGGTGGATGGCCCGTAGCAGGAGGGCAGGGTGCCCGGCTGTCTTCTGGCCTCTTCCCTCCCTCCCCTCCAGCCACTACCCCTGCTGAGGGTTTGTGGCACAGCTGAACGCCCACCATTTCCGTAGTCTCCACCTCTAGGCTGACTGCTTCTGTTGACCTCCTGTGGTCTCCTCCTCTCTCAGGGCAACTCCCCTCCATGGACCTGTCCCCAAGGCGGCCTTCTCTGCCCACCCGGCCCTTAGTTTGAGTTCTCAGTCCTGTCTGAGGATCCCCGACCCAGCTCGCCCACAAGGATGGGTGGGGTCAGGTTTATGACACTTCTCCAAGATCCAGCCCTTGGACAATCAGTCCCCTTTCCTGCCGACCCCCAGCAATGCTGCACGAGGTTCCAATTCCTCCCTTCCCAGGCTGGCCCCAGGCCCTCAGAACAAGTGAGGCCCACGTGGGCCCCTTACTAGCTGCACAAAGTCCAGGTACCAGAGCGTGCAAACGTGGCAGAGGCTCCATGGCAGAGCAAGCAGGGGTGAGCCTGGGCTCCCCTCAGCCCCCCAGGCCAGGTCTGACAGCTGTGCCTTAGAGCTCCCTGCTCGTGACACCCTTGCCACCCGGGAAATGGGAGTTAACATCAGGGCAAGGTCCCATGACCAGGCAGCAGCCTCTTCAGCAGTGGAGAACACACCTGCAGGAGGAATTGAGGCCCGGGCTGACTCAGAGGTGTCCATGTACCTGGGAGATTGGCCTTTTGTGTATCCATATTAAAGGTGGAAAAGCAATGCCTCCGGCCCTTTGTTGGCTCAGCCCTAGGAGGGCAAACCTGGACCTGGACAGGGTGAAGACCCTCCCAGACGGTGGTGAAAGGGTTGGGGAGTGAGCCAGAGCTGCCTGGGAGAGTTCCAAGCATCCCCCAGAGGCCCCTCGAGCATGATACGATCATGCCCCCAGCAGGCGAGCCAGGCAGGCTTCCTCCTGCCCAGGATGAGGCTTGGAGACCCTCTGTCCCGGGTCACAGAGCTGGTAGGGACAGCCGGGCCTCTAGTGTGGCGTGGCACTCAGAGCCCACCCAGGCCTCCCCAGACCCAGCACCTTCAGCACCCACCAACTTGCCGCTCCCCCCAGATCCTGTCCACGGCCTCCTCCTCCCCCAGCTCAGTCCTTCACATCAGAGCTCATGGTGCTTGACCCCCTCAGCATGAGTCTCACAGCAGAAGAGAATGGAAAGCTGAGGGAGACGGTAAGACTTCCACTGAGTACCTGCAAAGTGGAGTGGGCACTGAGTCCCCCATCACTGGAGGTCTGCAGGCGAAGCTTCTGCAGGGAATACCATAGAGGCGTTTCTTGCTTTGGGTAGGAGCCTCCAAGGATCCCTTGAGCCTAACACAAGTTTACAGACACAAACATTGACATCTATGAGAAAATCACTTATTAAGCACTTACTGTATGCCAAGCACTGTGCTAGGTGCTGAGGATGTAAATAGGAAAATCAGGCAGTCCCTGCTCACGCAGAACTCGAATTCTGCTTAGCAGCCCACCCAGTGGGACCCCAGACCGGTTCTTCAGCTCGAAGCAGCAAGGCCAATGGCGAAGCATTGAATCATGGCAAATCACTCAATTACCAGTTGTCATTTCTTCCCTCACAACGTCTCACATCAGCCCTTCCCTCCCCTTCCCCAGCTGCCTTCAGGCCTCATCCCCTCTGATCTGACTCCCCCCCCCATTATCCTCAATAAAGTGACCATGTCTCTGCCAGACCCAGTAGCCACCAGGAGCACTGTTACCTCTAGGTCAAGTACAAATTCCTGTGGCCTTCCCAACCTGGCCTCAATCCCCATTCCAAACTTACCGCACATCTCTCCTCTCCAAACACCCTGTGGTCCCGCTGTGATGCCTGGTCTGCTCATCTGTGGCCGGCCTGTCTCCACTCCTTTGCCCTCAGGCCTGAGATGCACTTCCTGCTGAACTCTGATTCAGAATCCATAACTTCCTTCAGGGCTGCTTAGATTCTTGAAGTAAAAGGTGGGACGAGGGGCCACGAGGTGGCACAGTGGGTAGAGCACCGGCCCGGGATTCAGGAGGACCCAAGTTCAAATCTGGCCTCAGACGTTTGACACTAGCTGTGTGACCATGGGCAAGTCACTTGACCCCACTGCCTAGCAAAGAAAAAAAAGTGGGACCACCATTGTTATTAGACGTTAGAAGATATTGTTCTCTATCAGGGATTGGACTGGGTGGTCCTAAGGGACCTTCCAATAGCCCTTCTGTGGGTCGTGCATCAAGGACCTTAACCTGGTGTCCATGAGCTGTTTGTGTTAATACAGGGTGTCCCAAAAGACTTTGGGACATTCTAATTTTGATCACTGCATTTCCATAGAATGGGTTTCCTTTCTAATCCTTGTATTTGGTGCATTAGAAACACCCTGAGAAGACCGTCAGAGGGATCGGTGATACACCAAGTTGAGGGCCCCTTTTTTCCAAATCGGGCCTCTGCTTTCATTGTTGTGAGGAACTCCTCGTCCCCGTGCAGATCCACCACTGCTCTGTGAGCAGAGCTAGCCTGGGTACTAAAAGATGAACTGATTGGCCAGGACCACACAGCCGGGGCATGGCAGACAGATTCAAATCCAGGCCTTCCTAACTGTAGCAATCTATCAGCTTCTCAGTGAAGCAGACACTTTCCGCAACCATCATAGAGCTTCTCCCACGGCAGCCAATGAAAGGTGTCCCACATGCACGAATCCGATGCACACATCAAAATTCCTTTTTTTAGCCTCAAAAGTCATGGTTTTTCTTTACATTTTGGCCATTTTGAAATAGATACTTTAAGACATCTTGCACACCATCCTGCCCTTCCTTCACGACTGAGGCACTTCAAGAGAAACGTGAGTTTTTGTCCTTAACAGTGATGCTGTTAGGGGCTGCTGAGATGGGCAGGGTCTTCACTCCTACACTAGTAGTGGTCCTTCATTCTCTTAGAGGGTCTCAATCTCAAGAGTTGGAAATGACCTCAGAGACCATCCCATCCACCTGAAGGAGAACTCCCTCAACAAGAGCCTTTAAATGGACATTCAGTCGTTGCTTGAACACATCTGATGAGGGAGAGCTCATTACCTCCCAAGGTAGCCCATTCCACTTGGGGATGGCTTCCATTGTTAGTAAATTCTTTCTTAAAGCAAACTTAAATCTGCCCCCTTTGCAGCTTTGCCCCTTTCTTCCAGGTTAGGCACCATCACTCCTGTCTACACAGCAATCCTTCAGATAGTTGAAAAGTCATCGTGCCTCTCTGCCGCCCAGTGTTCTCTTTCCCAGATTACACATCCCTAGTTCTTTCAGCCAACCTTGATGCTTTATGGCCTAAGGACCTTCACTACCCTAACTGCCCCTCTGAAAATGCTATGCACTTTATCCAAGTCCTTCCTAAAATATGGCACCCAGAACAGAGGAGAATAATCCAGTCGTGGTCTGAGCAGGACAAAATTCAATGAGTTATCGCCTCCCTAACCCTGGATGCCAAGTCTATCATTTCAGCCTCAGATCCATATTACAGATCTTGTTGCATCCCTGCATTCATGACATGGTAGATAGAATGTGGGAGAGGAGGGAGGAAGACCTGAATTCAAATCCCATTTTTGAGACTTACTGGTCATAAGACCCTGAATAAGTCATTTAAACTCTCTGAGCTTCAGGCTCCTGATTTGTAAAAGGCAAGAATTGGACTGGATAGCCTCTGAGGTCCATCGTTTCCAGCCATAAGTCTCTGCATCTGCTGGGTTTTTTTTTTTTTGTCATGGCATCACTGACTCATTACCCTTGGAGACTACAAAATATTTGTTTCCATTGTGCCTCCTGGCTCCTCCTTTGGGACTGAGGGCTGTTATTTTATAGACAGAAGGCCAACTTCACGAGAGGGTTTTTGTCTTTGAGTCCCCTGCCCCAGCAGTGCCTGGCACACCAAAGGCATCTAATTAATGCTTGTTGATTGATGAGATTGGCTTCATCCTGTCAGCTTTCTCCAGCACCCCTCTCTTCACACACAAACTCCTGTCTCTCTTCCCTCACCTCCTCACCCCCTATACAGAAACACACACACACACACACACACACACACACACACACAACACACACACACACACACACACACACACACACACACCCCTTATCATACCTGAATTGCTGTCTGCAAAAATGAACCAAATCACACATCCAATCCATTTAGAGTCAATATTCATTATGGCTGTATGACCTAAGAATGCTCTGGAGCCAGAGGAAGGAGATGGCTTTGGTTCCTCAGTCTGCTAATTAAGTCCTCAGTCACCTTAACACAATCATTTCATTTCTCTGGGCCTCAGTCTCCTCAAGTGAAAAATCAGAGGACTGGACAGAAGGTCTCTGAGGTCCGTTGTGGTCTTTGTCTGCCACAGTCCATGGCATTGTGGAAAATACAGGGCTGGGAGTCAAAAGCACTGGCCTGGGAGACCTGAGTCCTAGGTCTGATTCGTCTGATTCTCCCACTAACTTCCCTCTTAGCTTTGGACACAATCTTCAATTTCCTTGTCCACTAGATGAAAGACTTCTGGTTATGATCTCCAACGACCCGTCCAGCTCTGAAATGTCGATTTTTTTTTTTTTGGCTAGGCAATGGGGTTAAGTGACTTGCCCAGGGTCACACGGCTAGTAAGTGTTATGTGTCTGAGTCCAGATTTGAACTCAGGTCCTCCTGAATCCAGGGCCAGTGCTCTATCCGCTGTGCCATTTGGTTGCCCCTTGAAATGTCAAGATTTTAGGGTGCCTTGAGACCTCAGGTGCCAGGCCTAGAGTCAGGAACATGTGAGTTCAACTCTGGTCTCAGACACTTACTAGCTGTGTGACCCTGGGCAAGGCCTTCACCCTGTTTGCCCCAGTTGTCTCATCTTCAAAAAGAGCTGGAGAAGGAAATGGAAAACCACTCCAGTATCTTTGCCAAAAAAAAAAAACGACAACAACAACAACATAGGGTCACAAAGAGTTGAACACAACTGAACAATACCACAGACTCTTATTGAGCAAAGTACATGAGCTTTGGGGCAATTCTTCTCCATGGCATACGGAGGTCTTTTCCAATTACTTGTAGCTCTAATAACGATGGATATTTGTGTTAGTGTTTTAAGGTTTGCAAAATCACATTCTTTAAAAATAGACTATTGGTAATATAAAAATTAAACACTTTTGCACAAAATAAATATAGCTAGATTAAGGAGAAAATATAGATTGGAAAAAGTTTGCAAATCACATTCTTCACAACATTCTCATAAGGTAGGTTGTGCAAGTAGGATCTCCATTTTACAGAGGAAGAGACAAAGGGTCAGAGAGGTAGCTTGCCCAGGAGCACACAGCCAGTAAGTATTGGATGCAGGAGTTGAAACCTGATCTTCTGACTCTAGGACCTGCCTTTGAACTATGATTCCATAACAGTCATGCTTGCCACTAGTTTTACCATCAGATAAATGGGGGTATCACTATAGCTAGTGACCCCAAAATCTTTCATCAGTCAACAAGCATTAAGGACCTACTATGTGCAAGGCACTGTGCTAAGCACTGGGGAGACGAAGGGGAAAAAAACAGAGTCCCTGCCCTCTGGGAGCTTACAATCCAATGGAAGAAACAATGTGCCAACAGCTGCAAAATAAAATGTATACAGTATAAATGGAGGGGATTTCAGGGAAAGGCATTGAATCACTCAATCAGCAAACAGGGCAGAGCAGAGGAAAGTGACTTGCCCAAAGCTGAACTGCTTAGCAGATAGCTGCACCTTGAACTGAGGCCATGAGGTCATACCCCTGGACAGGACGCTGGAGATCAGCTAGCCCAGTTGTCCAAGGTCGCCCCAGTAAGAGACAGACAAATACTTTGTATCCCTGGCAGCCTATGCGTTGCCTGGCACAAAGTGGGAGCTTCGTACTAAATATTTGGTATCGACTGGTTGATATAGTTTGTATTTCTCTGTGTATACTTTGTAGTCTCCCTGTAGGGTGTCCCAGGTAGGGAAGGGGCCCCAGAGGTCATCTAGTCCAACTACCTCCTTTTACAAATGAGGAAATCAAGGCCCAGCACCCAGCCTAATGCCTTGCTCTTGATATAGGGACTAGAACTGGGATTTCATCAGCACAAGACACAAACAAGTGAGGAGACTCCCTCTACCAATGTAGGTCTGCTTCTCCTGCAACATTTAGTCTCAGAGAAGAGAGACTGAGGGCACTGAGAAACTGAGTCACTTGTCCAGGGAAACACAGCCTTAGTGTGTCAGAGGTAGGATTTGAACCCAGGTCTTTTGTTTGTTTTTGGCTGGGCAGTGAGGGTTAAGTGACTTGCCCAGGGTCACACAGCTAGTATGTGTCTCAGGCTGGATTTGAACTCAGGTCCTTCTGAGTCCAGGGCCAGTGCTCTATCCACTGCACCACCTAGCTGCCCCTGAACCCAGGTCTTTTTATCTACTAAGCCATGCTGTGCATTGCATGTGCCTAATAAACACTGGCTGAGTTCAGTTTAATCAGAATTAAATTAAACCAATCCCATGACTCCCTGTCTGTGCTTTCTCTTCTGATTCTGGTGTGTTTTGAGAAAAGCCACACCAGTTTAAGGAAACCATTAGGTCTGGGGGAGGGAAGGGGCTCAGATTTCCTGAGGCTCCTGTGTTTGGGGCCTAGGACTGCTTTAAACCTCCCCGCAACGGATCACTTTACAACTCACAGGAAGTGAGCCCTCGACTAAAGTAGAACCAGATGCTTGGTGGAGCCTGCTGTGGCCACCCCGAACTAGGCAGAGGGGCCTGGAAGAATCCCCAGGGGAGGCCCCCTGGCACCTGGCTGCAGGCTAGAAGAGGCCAGGCAGCTGAGGAAGGGGGCCCCAGCAGGGAGGGCAGGCTGGAAACCGCTATCCCCACATAGGAACCATACCCTTCCATGCCTCGACCACTCTTAGACCAGAGTTACAGGACGGGGGGGAGAGGGGGGGGAGGTCCCTCGAAGCCTTTGTGCAAAGGTCTAGAGAGAATGTAAAAAAGGATGAGGGGAAAGAGCAGGAACTTGGTGGAGACCACAAGGCCTTAGCTCACCTCTCCTCCCAGCCTCCCAGGCTGCCAGGAAATATACCGCAAGCATCTCTCCCCAGATCCTGGCCTCTCCTTCTAACCACGCCCTGTCTTTGACTGTTAAGTTCCCTACCCACCCCATGCTCTGGATTCTAAGCCCTGGGTCAGAGAAACCACCACATTTGAGAGTTAGAAGGGCCCTAGTCCATCCTACACATGAAAGGCCCTCCCACTATAACAACACAACCTCTTAGGTCACAATACTGCCTTTGTCCCTGGCTCTTTGTCTCTGGCACTATGTCTGCCTTAATGTAATACCTCCGGCTCAGCTTGGTGGGGGGGGGGGTCCCCTGCTATGTCACAGTCCCCCAATCCCCCCTTCCTTCATCTCTCTGAGCCCCTGGAGGGTCCCCTCACCTCTCTAGCATCCATACCATCTGTGGTATGCCCAGTGCTCCGGAAGCATCCCAAGGAGGCATAAAAGAAGAGATTTGGAGTCATGGGTCCTGGGTTTGAATTCTGACTTACTTTGTCTTTGGAATAGCAATAGCCTTCCTGGGCCTTAGGTTCTTTCTCTACGAAATGAAGGGTTTTAATTAGCTATAAGACTCTTAGCCTCAGGTGCCTGTTTTGTTTTTTTTTTAATTAATATAGTCAACATAATGGGTTTCCTTTGTAATCCTATGTATTTCATTTCATACACTTAAAACCATGATTCTGAGAAGGGGTGTCATCCCTGCCAGCGGGGTCCAGAACACAAAAAGGGTGAAGGACCCTTGCTGTAGAGGATGTCTAAGAGCTCTTTCAACCAACCAACAAGCATTTATTAAGCACCTACTGTGGATTATTCACTATCAATACCAAGACAAAAGCAAGCTCAAATTCTATGAGACATTCTCTGATTCTGTGATTCTTTCCGGGAGATCTTACACGCCCTCCAAGCCGGTTCTTACTTCTGAAGGAGCTAAGACTGATTGGCCACTAGATGGCAGCAGCACCCCACCATGGTCAGGAGCCCGGGAAGCAAGCACAGGTTTTGGTGCCCTTAGACTTCGTCTTGCACGCCCTCCATTTACAGATTAGCAAAATCCTCTGAATGGCTCACATTTCTAGGGGACTCTAAGTTTGACTGAGCACTTTCCCTAAAGTGGTCCTGGGAGAACAGAGAAAGATTGTCTCAAGTACATGGTAGGGGCTCCCTGTGCGCTCCTCTGCATGGATTCAGTGCTTCTCACACCCTGCTCTCCATTCTTGCGGCTACCATGTACAGACTCTCCTCCGTCCTCACTTATTGCAAATAGCCTCCTTACCTCCACCTTCTCCTGAGGGGGTATAGGCCCTGGAAACCCTCCCCCTCACAACTACCCCTGAACTCTCCCACTTGGCCCTGGTGTTTGCCTGAGGCTATAATCCTCTCAACTGTCCTTTCATCATGGCCCCATGCCCAAACCTCCAATTTTTGGTTACACTGAACCTAGCCCAGCCCTTCATTATCTGTTACCTCCCAATTGGCAGGCCTCTTCTGTATAAAGGATCCATTAAAGTGCTCAGATTCTTAAAATCTGGCCAATAGTGTAGACTCACTAGGAATCTCACCCCACTCAGTGTTCTAATAAACCTTGTCTTTGGCTAAAAGAAGACTTGGGTCCAATTCATTCAAGGTAGGACCTGCATCGCTGGCCCTTGAATTTGGGGGTCCCTAGTGATGAGGTCTAGATTCTTGGGGTGCTGGGACCCTGCTACGACACGTAAGCCCTGCTTGAATGAGTTTGACCCAAATCTTCTTTTAGCCAGAAACAAAGTTTTTATTAGAGATGGGACATACAGCCCAGACTGTTCAGGAATCTGAACAGTAGTGATGCCCGTAAGGATGAGCAGGCATGAGGAAATCTCAGTGTTTAAATGGGGGCCAAGGTGGATCTTATATACACTCAAGTAATTTTGGACAACCAGAGGAGGGGCTGGGAAGAGGATCTGAGTGAGTGGGGAGGAGTTTAGGGAAAAGGGGAGTGTCTGGAAGGGGTCACCAGGGAATGGACAATAATAAAGGGCGAGGCTTTTATTGGGGTAACAAAAAACTGGAAGGAAGAGGTTGTGTGGGGTCTGGATAAGATCAAAGGTGGGATATCACAAAGACTAGGATCAAAGCTTCATTAAGATGTCAAAGGGAGATTGGGACAGTTGGAATCAGAGATAAGGAAAGGCCAGTAGAGTGGAGTATAGCCTCAGGCAATGTTTGAGACCAGCATGAGGTCAAAGTTTAAGGATTTTCTGGGCCATAATGTGGGACCCAAATTCTTTTTGGGGTGAGGGGTAAAGGTCTCGGCTTGGGCCCATACCCCATCACCCAGCACCCCTAGACCTCAACACTTCTCTCCCGTACCTCCTCCATACTGTTGACAAGGTGAATTTTCTTAGCCCACAAAATTGTCCATGTCATTCCCCTCCTCAAGCAACTCCAGTGGCTCCCTATTGCCTGTGTAATAAAATAAAAACTCTTTTTTTTTTAAAGCCATAAAACCTGGCCCCAACCTACATTTCCAGCCTCACCGGATATTGGTCCCCCACCCTCTGTGATAGCCAGACTAGCCTTCTCTTTTGTTCTTCACTCAGGAAACTCTACCTCCCATCCTGAGCCTTTGCTCTACCCTTACCTCAAGCATGGAAGGCGTCCCTTCCTCATTTCTCTTCCTTTAAGAGGTGGCTCAGCATTATCTTCCGCAGGAAGCCTTGCCGGAGTCTCCTCCTATCTCTATTTAAAATAGTTACTTCATAGTTAGGAGGACCTGAGTTTAATCCTGCCTCAGCCAAGTGATAGCTGTATGACCTTGGGCAAGTCATTTAACCTCCATTTGCTTCCGTTTCCTCATCTGTACAATAGGGATAATCATAGCACCTACCTCTTGGGATTGTTGTGAGGATCAAATGAGAATACACATACATACAGATGTATGTAAACAGGTATGTGCACGATATATACATGTTCATGTACATGTAGATAGAATATAACTACATATATACATATATGTATACATACATATAGTGATTTGCAAACCTTAAAACATTACATAAACAATGACTACCACTACTACTACAATTAAATACTAATATTATGACTGGGGGCTGCTAAGTGGTACAGTAGATAGAGCTCTGGGCCTGGAGTTAGGAAGACTCATCTTCCTCAGTTCAAATCTGGCCTCAGACACCTACTAGATGTGTGACCCTGGGCGAGTCACTTCACCCTTGCCTCAGTTTCCTCATCTGTAAAATGAGCCAGAGAAGGAAATGGCACCCAGTGGGCTCACAAAGAGTCGGACATTATTAAGACTTCTATATTACTACCATTATTATTACTTGTCTTTATCTTATGTATATATCCATATATATATATATATATATATATATATATATATATATATATATATATATTTAGGTAGATTGATAGATCTATAGGTAGATCTATAGATAGACAGACAGATGGACCTACATATGTACTTATTGTCTCCCTTATCGGGATGTAAACACCTGGTGAATAGAGGTGGTTTTCTTCTTGGCCCTTGCATTCCCAGTGCCTGACCCATAGGAGACACTTGGTAAATGCTTTCCCAGTGAGTGATTCCGTTTCTACCTATGACACTTGTTACCTGAGTGACCTTGGGCTAGTCACTGAACTTCCTTAGGTCCGGTTCCCTGTCAGTAAGAGGAGGGGGTTGGACGGGATGGCCTCTACATCTGCCGTTCTATGGACAAAGTGCAGAACCAGTCTCCTATTCCTTCCCCCTTAGGCCTGAGCTCGCTAAGATCTTTCCACTAAACCAGTGTAAGTATCATGATGGAGGAAGAGTCAGGGGCCAAGACACCTGAGTTCTGGGCCAGTCTGCCACTAAATTGATACTGGACCCTTCATCTCCCCTCTCAAGGCCCCATCTGTAAGTTTGATGACTTTTCCCCCTCTTCTCCCTTTCCTAAGAAAATAATTCAGAATGTTCTATTGGTCCCCATCCCCTAGAACCACAGCTCATGAGCCCCTACCAATGTGTTTCCCTTTAATAGTCAGCCACGTGACAATTAGTCCAAAGCAGAGGCATTTAATGAAACGGCATAAAAAGAAAGGTAACGTTAAAGCATTTCCATCTTCAACTTAAGTGTGCTCTCCCACGAACACACATACAGGAAACTCAAGTACGTAAGTATAAATACAAATATTAGGGAATTCAAATATACAAATCCAAGTACACATATAGGAAACACAAATACAGATATAGGAATACAAATATAGGTAACACATATACAAATACAGATGCATATATATGGAAAACAAATACATCTTTAAATACAAACATAGGAATTCAAATACAGATATATGAATATAAATATACGCAAAAACAAAGACACAAAGATGGAACTTGTGACAATGACACATGTTAGGGGAATGTGAGGCCCATGCCCACAGAAGGGCAGCTCAAATCACTGGCACTCGGAGCGGCTGATGTCATCTAGGGATGTCAAAATGCTGCTCCAGCCTCCAGGCCTGTCCCTGCTGGTCTCGGGGCTTCTTCCTAATGTCACTCGTATGGATGCTGAAGGCTTCTCTGAAGGCTACTCTGCTGCCCACACAGTGTCTGCTGGAGGCATTCAGCTGTCTCAAGCTGCTGACTCAACAGAAGTCCTTGGTGATGGGTCCTTGTTGTTTTCTGGCCACAGTTCTTTTGGAAAAGGAAGAAACCCTCACCTTACACAGCAAAAAGCCAAGGGGTGGGGGTGGGGGGTGTGGGGGTGGGGGTAGGGGAAATCTCAGCTTTTTGGTTTAGCTCTGTGGCCTCTCACTTCTCAAGCAGGAAAATAACGGTAACAATAAAAAGCATTTATTGAGCACTTAAAGGTTTACAAACAGCTTTACAAATATTATCTCATTTGATTTCCACAAAAACCCTGGGTGGAATATTATCCTCATTTTACAGATGAGGAAACTGAGGTAGACAGCAGTTAAGTGACTCACTCAGGGTTCACAGCTAGTAAGTACCTGAAGCCATATTTAAAGTCAGATCTTCCTGAATCTAGGTAGCTGTCTACTTAGCTAAATCATTAGTCTTTTCTTTCGATTAAACTTCCTGTCTCTGGACCAGAAAGGGTTCTATGGGCAACTTCACTCTAGCTAGCCCATGGAGAGCATGCCACATTCAAATTCTAGAGCTCTATAAGGGACATTTGCCCAAGAACTAGCCACAGCTCTGGAATTCAGGGTTCTCTAGTTCTTTGAAGCCTAGATCTCTTCTGTCCCCACCTCCGACCCCCACACATGAGTAGGGGTGGAAAAGGCACAGAGACAAAGCTAAGCTCAAAGGCAGGATCTTTCTACCCTTTCCTACTGGCCAAGCCCATTCCCTGTCCTTTCATGTGTAGGCACGGGCAGCCAAAGCTGGAAAGGGGCTTTGCCACACATCCTTGCATGTGAAAAAGTTAGGTCACGTTAATTTCTAAGGCTTCTTCCTAAGATCCAACTGGAAAGTTAAGAAGGAAAACAGGAATTCACTTGACAGTGTCATTTCCTCCTAAAATTGGAACAATGACTCAGCACTTGCCAGAGACAGCCGAGGATCATTGTGTATTGGCAGGAACAGGGACCTCTGGACCAGAGAAGGGTTCAAGTCCTGACAGCTGCTTACTCCTCCGTGGGACCACTTGATCTCAGAATCTGTAAAATGAAGGCGTTCACTTCAACGTGTATTCATTAAACACCTATTACGTGCCAGGCTCTCTGCGAGGCACTTGGGAGCCAACAACAAAATGAAACAGCCCCTTCCCTCAGAAAGCTTACATTCTACTGGGTTGGACTAGGCAATCTCAAAAGTCCCTTGAGCACAGTGCCTGGCAAACAGAAGGCACTTAATAAATGCTTGTTGACCAACTCTACAGTGACATTGTATGATTTATTCTTAACATATCTATGTCATTAAAGTTTGCATTAGGGCACTTAGTGATCAGAAGGTAACCGGTGTCTTAAATTATGAATTATTTCTGGAGTCAGGGACCCAACACACTGAGAATGGGAAAGGGAAGAGAGACATGAACAATCAGAATTGATTTAGAATCTTATCAGGTTGAGAGCTGGGAGGAACGTGAGGGATCATCTACGCCAACTGCCTCATTTTACAGATGAGTAAACTGAGGGCTGGTGAGGTTAAGTGAGGTCTTGAAGGCAGATGGAGGCAGAGCGGGGATCTGTTTCTCCAGATCCAGTTCCTCTTCTCCAAGGTCCCACCAGGGGCTCAAGGACACCTAGAGGCAGCTCTCCCTCTGCCATACACACCCCAGGGTGGGATCTGGGGCCCATAGGAGACCCTGTCTGTGCCCTGCAACAGCAGGGAAAACACATCATAAGACTCAGGCCTGGAAGAGACCTTAGAAATCACCTCTCATTTTATGGATGAAAAACCCAAAGCCCAGAGAAATTATCCAATTTGCCCAAGCTCACATGCCACGGATCATTGAGTGGAAGCGAGGAGGGCTCTCAAAGGGCCACCGGGTCCAATCCCTCATTAAACATATGAAGCAACTGAGGCCCAGTGACTTGTCCAAGGTCACACAGTACATGTCAGCAATAAATGTCAGAGCTGAGATTTGAACCAAGAATCTCTTATCAGCCAGACTGGTGGTCGTGGTGGGTGATATTACTAAATTGATTAGGATGCTTATTAAAGGTGGCATGTAAGAAAACTTTGTGTGGCATGAAGCCTAAGGTTATAGGAAGGGATCGAGTGCATGAGGTTTTGTCCCACCAGCCCCCTCTTCTTTCCAACCTTCTATCCCCAGGACAGGCTTCCCCAGGTATCTGAACTTCCAAGAGGGAAGCCAGAGGGAGCCCAGAATCCCAACTCAGACCCTGGACCTTTCACCTTGACCTCTTAAACATTATCTCCATTGAGGGCCTTCTCCTGAGGATGGTACCAGTGTCCCCTGACCTCAGGAGCTGGGGATTGTCAGATGAGTTCAGCTGAATCAGTGAATCCTAGAACATGGGATGTCAGAGCTGGAAGAGGCCTTAGAACATAGGATGGGATGTCAAAGCTGGAAGGGGACTTAGTACAGGGAATGTCAGTGCTGGGAGGTGCTTTAGAATAGGGAATGTCAGAGCTAAGAGGAGCCTTAGAATAGAGAATTTCAAAACACAGAGATGTTTTAGATGAGGGAATTTCAGAGCTGAAAGGGGCTTTAGAACATGAGATGGGATGTCAGAGCTGGGACAGGGCTCCAATACCTTCACATTACAGATGGGGAAACTGAGGTTACAATCAGGAAGCAAGACCCCTCCTGCCCTTCTGCCACCCTCAAAGGACGTAGGGTTCCTTCTCTGTAGCTTCAGCAACTTCCCATCCTCAGGTACCATCTCTAATGACTCAGAGCTGGGGAGCCATTGCACCCCACTGGTAGCTTTACCATAGCTGGAATATGGGCTTGAGAGCGGGCACTCCATAGCTGGGAGGGGAGGTATAGGCTCCTGCTCAGCAACCCCTGTAGTGCAAGGGGCTCCCAGAAGGGCAGGGGCCCCCTCTGGAGACACAGGGACAGCCTGAACAGGAAAGAGCTCAGCCAGAGTCCTTTCTGATGGAGGCTGGGAGGGGGAGTTCTGGGGAAAAATCAAGGCCCTGAAGGATGGCAGCGTCAGGTGGGCCTCAGCCCACATTGAAGGCCAAGAAAGGCAAGATGTTCCCTTCGGAAGTTCCATGGATATGTCAAGGTTTTCTATGGAAGCTCATAATAATTATTCACATTTCCATGGGACTTCAAGGATTACAAAGTTCTCTATTCCCAGCAATCCTAAGAAGAGCCTAGAGCAAAAATTATGTCCATTTTACACAGAGGGAAACTGAGTCTCAGAAAAGCAGGTGGCTTGCCCACAACTCAGACTAGCTAGGAAGCATCAAAACTAGGATTCCAAACAGGGTCTTTTGACCAGTGCCTAAATCTGCCTCTCTGTAACACGCCCCTACTGCTCCTGGCTCTGCACTCTGGGCCAAGCAGACTAAAGCTAAGCCCTCCTTCATGCCACAGCCCTCCCAATATTTGAGGACGGCTCCATGGGGACTGAAGCCAGGATTTCAGTACCTGCCTCACTGAACTGTTCTGATAATCAAGTGAGTTAATGCATATGTGAAACACTTCCTAATCCTAGATCGAGACATACAGGGGAGATATCATCATCATCACCACGAATATTCCTTCACTAATGTCCTCCCATGGTACCTAGAAAGTTAAATGACTTATCCAAGTTCTCGAGGAGACAGCAGCATGATAGGTGGGGGAAATTTTAGATCTGGAATCAGAAAACCAGCATGGTCCTCTGGAAGGAATGGAAGAAATCCTGGATTTTAAATTAGAAGGCCTGAGTTCAAATCCTGTTTCTGCCATTTGCTACTTGTATGACTGACTCAGTCTCCTCATCCGTAAAAATGAGCTAATTGGATTACGTGACCTTTAAGGCTTCTCCTAGCTCTAAATCTGTGATTCTATGACAAAGGCAAGATTCGAACCCTCTCCTGTTTCCAAGGTACCATATTCCTACATGACCTTCCCTGCTTTGCCTCTGATTGGGTTCCTAAGGTCACCCATCCAGCTTTCCTGCCTTCCTTATCACACTGGGTTCTGTAAACCAATCCCAGCCCCAGGCAGAACAGGTACCTGGGTGCACTTGGCCAAAGGAGTGGAGCGGGGTCTGCAAAGACAGGTGCCAAGCAGGACAGATGCCCAGATAATCTGATAGGGTGTTGATAAGAGGCCTTAGTCAGGGAGCTTTCATGGACTCCCTGCCAAGGCAATAGCCCCAGGGCTCAACCAGGCCAGGGTCATCGGGTGGAGGTAAGTGGGGGCACCTGGGTTGAGGAGTGATCATCATTTAAGATCAATTGAACCCCAGTAAGGGCCAAAAACCTGAACTGATCTTTGCTTCATGAGTGAACTGAAAATGCCCCTTCCTGGGTCAACAGCTAAAGTGGATCAAAAGCATTCTTCTGTGTATGACCATTAAGACACCTTTAACCCAGACACTACCTTGATGGTGGTAAAGGAAACAAAGATATCCTGGATCTGACATTGGCCTATCAATTAAGAAAATTCCTTTCTCCTGCTCTGGTTAAACCTACGGAGACCATAAAACTGGGTAACACAGACATCCTGAGTCAGGGTTTAAATGTCCTCCTAAAAATTGCTTGATTCAGTCAGAGTTAAAGCTCTGGCTCCATGTATATGTCCCTAACTTAGGGAATAAACAATATAATCATCTATCACCTAACTTGTTTGCCTTCTTTAACCAAACTTTCAGGTGGACAGGAGATAGAGCAAGTGGATAGACCACAGGAAAGCTGCTGGTAGGCCAAGGTCGTAACTCTTCTACCCATCCTGGAAAGCCCAGCTCAAAGACACCCCATCCTACAAAAGCCTTCCTTGATCCCCCACACTGATGGTGACCTTCCTGCAGGACCACACCCAGTATGTGGTTTATACTTCTGGAGTGTATTTCACCCATACTATATGTGAACCTTGGAGTCTGCTCCTAGACCCACTTGGGGCTGTTCTGGGGGAGCTTGTGCCTCATCTGGCCCCATCCAGATCTCCAGCTCCCTCCCAGGCCCCCAGCTCCAAGTCCCAGCCTTTCCCTCCTCCCCTCTTAGTATTGCCTTCTTCCATTAGAACATAAGCTTCTTGAGGG